TTACAGGGCTTTGTTGGCGGGCGACTTTTCACGTACATCCACGTGTCTTCACACGCTTTCTTGCATATCCTTCAAATGGCTACCCCGCAAGCCCCTAAAGCCTAAAACCTACAACCAAATAGTGTCGGGTTTGTGGTTCGTGCAAAAGTTGGCGCTTCAGGGTTGACAGTTCGAGTCTGGGTAGGCTTAAGCTGGGGGTGTACGGGGTTGTCGGCGTTAGGATATTGGGGTAGCCCACACACCACCCCCCCACCCCCCCCCCCTGCCCCACGCCCCCCAAACCCCAAACCCCTAAACCCCCAAACCCCAAACCCTAAACCCCAAGCCCCAAACCCAAAACCCTAAATGCTAATCCCGAAGCCCCAAACCCAAGCCTTAAACCCATGAAACCCCTGACACCTTGAAGCTCACGTGAAGGTGAGCAGTCCTGGTGTCGCACGCCCTCCTTTGGAGAGGCCTCCAGACCTGGAAGGGTTGACCTCATTCGGGCTTTTCTGGGACGCTTGTCAATCCGGAACATGATTACAGAGCCCAGAACCTCAAACCCCCTCCTTACGCAACCCTAAACCCTAAACCCTAAACCCTAAACCCTAAACCCTAAACCCTAAACCCGAGGGCCCTCAAGCACCCCTAAGCCCTCTCAAGCCCCCAAGAGAGAAGGGTTTCTCTGCTCGTTCGACATGGGTGTAGACTGCGCCATGCCAGACCAAGAGGAGACGTCCCGATATGCAAAAACGACCTTGGTATATCTGTCTGTCAAGAAATTTGCAAATATTTGTGTATGTGTATGCTTGTATACACAAAGCTTTTTGTTATGATGTACATGTGCACATGGATTTAGCTGTCTATGCCAAATTGTATACTACCCGAACTAAACCTATTCCAATTCACCCGGTCAGTCGGTTGTTCAGTTTGGCCTCTTGTTTTGCCGTCTTTTGCCACCTTCTGTTAAGCCCTTGCCCGCACACCCGAAACCCCAAACCCCAAACCCCAAACCCTACACCCTAGCCCTAAACCCTAAACCCTGAACCCTGAAGCAGGCGGGTGCCTCTGTGTCCTCCCCGCAAGCCATCGGAACCAGCGACGTGTCCTCCGACGAGGCAGGCTCCTCCCTAAACCATGTACACCCAAAGCTTTGGGTTGAAAGTTGCAGGGTTTAGGGTTTAGGGTATAGGGTTTGGGGTTTAGGGTTTGGGGTTTAGGGTTTAGGGTTTAGGGGTTAGGGTTTAGGGTTTAGGGGTTAGGGTTTAGGGTTTAGGGTTTAGGGTTTAGGGTCTAGGGTTTAGGCTTCAGGGTTTAGGGTTTAGGGTTTAAGTCTACACTAAAGGTCTGCAGCTTAGCTGCTTTCTGGGTACCACGGAATAGAATGGCGGGGCCCTTCGCAGCAAACCCTGAACTCTTAAACCCTAAACACCTCAACACCCCAAGCTCCTAGTTACACCCGAAAGCCCTCAGCCCATCAGTACAACCCTGGACCCTAAAACCCCTTAAGCTGCCCTAAAACCCTGAAACCCTCAAACCCCTCAAGCCTACACCCCTTGATCCCAACAGCTCTAAACCCCTAAACCCCCTAAACCCCCTAAACCCCCTGAACCCCCTAAACCCCCTAAACCCCCTAAACCCCCTAAACCCCCTAAACCCCCTAAACCCTACCCTAAACCCTAGCCTCAGGCCGAGGAGTTCGAGGCCGAAGTTCGCTTGATCGCGCAGGGCTGCGGCGGCTCGTCCGTGTTGTGGATGTTCCACCTTATAAGGGTATAGGGTTAAGGGTTTAGGGTTTAGGGTTTAGGGTTTAGGGTTTAGATTATAGTACCCCCTATTAGAAGGACTGTTAGGATAAGGAGGAACATTCCCAATGGTTGGGGTTTATAAGGGCTTTGGGGGTTGAGGGTGCAGGCGTTTAAGGGTCTAGGGTACAGGGTTTAGGGTTTAGGGGTTCAGGGTTTGGGGAGGCAATTACGGAAGGGTTGAAGGGTTCAAGGGTTAGAAGGGCTGAAGGCTCAAGGGCTCAGGGTTTAGGGAAAAGGCGTAGTCAAGATCCCCCAGTTGTTTGTATTCGAACATTCTGCCCACGCTGTCGGGCAGGAGGATCTTGCAGGGCATAGCCACAACAAGAACTATTCCTTTGTGGGCGTTGCGAAGAACCCTGGGGCCAACTAAAGTGTCTAGTGCTGGAAGGGCAAAACCCCTTTATGCGTCAGCAATGCTGTGGGCAAACCCTGAACCACCCAAAAGCCCTTGCGGAACCACGCGTTGGAGAGCCTCACAAAGCACATGGTGGCCGTTCTAAACCCGTGTCCCCTGTAAGGATTTAGAGTTTAAAGTTTAGGGTTGAGGGTTGAGAGCCCCGTAGAATGCTTCTTCATTGGAACCTATAGATCCGGGAGGATCATTTGCAGAACTCGTTTCCTGGAAAGGGTCCCTAAACCCTAAACCCTAAACCTTAAACCCTAAACCCTAAACCCTAAACCCTAAACCCTAAACCCTAAACCCTGAACCTGCCGAGGCTTCGTGGAGGACGGCTCGCAGGAGCTCTTCCAAGCACGTGCCGAAACCCAGGTGCGGAGGGGGGAAGGGAGTGCCGGGATGCCATGAAGGGCCTTAGGGTTCAGGGTTTAGGGTTTAGGGTTCAGGGTTGTAGGGTTGTAGGGTTGTAGGGTTGTAGGGTTGTAGGGTTGTAGGGTTGTAGGGTTGTAGGGTTGTAGGGTTGTAGGGTTGTAGGGTTGTAGGGTTGTAGGGTTGTAGGGTTATGCGTTGCATGGTCTGTAGGGAATGGTGGGAGTTTTTGGTGCAGGGGGTTTCCTAAGGTTGGGCTCTAACGGTTGGGTTTTAGTGTACGTATGCATGCGCCTCTAAGAGAACCCCTGTAAAAAAGCAGCAGGGGCGAATCTCCAACGTGGCTATTTTAGTGATTTTTGATGTTCGGTCTTTTGGGAGGTGTTAGGCTGTGGGTTGCGTATGAGCACATTGGAACCATGCGTAGCAAGTTTTGCTGTTGGAATTTCAGAGGCAGCCAACACAACCTCACAGGGTTTAGGGTTTAGGGATTGGGTTTAGGGTTTAGAGTCTTGGGTTTAGGGTTTAGGGTTTAGGGTTTAGGCTTTAGGGTTTAGGGCTATAGCGAAGAAGCCGTGCGAGACTGGCCAGGTGACACCTGCCAAGCATCGGGTGACCGTGGAGGAGTCACGAGGCCCTGGGCTACCCATCCACAAAGCCGGAACCCTCCCGCCAAAAGAAACCCTAAACGGTAGGGTTTAGGGTTTAGGGTTTAGGGTTTACGGTTTTGGGTGAAACCCCCCAAGAGACCCTAAACGGTACCTCCAGCAACCGAATCCAGGCGCCTCACTAATTTTCAATAGGGTTAGGGGGAAGGGGGGGGGTTATGTTGCGTAGGGGCCATGAGCGAATGCTATTTGTAATTATTCCGACCCCTGCATGAGATGCTTCCGTGAATAAGCAGGAAATGTAGCTCACCTACATCCAGGGCTTCATCAGTTCACCTTCCGCCCCCCAGTCGGCCGGAGATTCAATCCTGAACACGAAGCCCTGGGGTTAAAGATCTAAAGTTCTAGGGTTTCAGGGTTAAACAAACATCTTGTTCAAGGTCTTATGGCTTTTAGTGCTATAGGGTGTAGGATTTAAAGGCTTGCGGGTTTAGGGTTTCGGGACCATCAACCCCCTACAGCAACAGAAATTCCTTGCTGCGCCCATGGCGTCGCTATCCATTGAGGAAGCCCCTGATCCCTAGGAGGTCCTTTAAGGACTGCTAGTACCAGGGGAAACATCCCAACTTTCAAGATTTCGGGTTTTGGCGGTTTTGGGGCTTTGGGGGTTGAATTCGGGTTGGGGGCTTCGGAGCCTCAAAAGCCACAGTTTGCCGAAGACCCGAGCTGAGGGCCTAGGGTTCAGAATGACTGCCTATGGTCCCCTGAGCCCTACAAACCCAAAGGCCCTAGCGCACAAAAGGGTCTAGACCTTCTAAACTAACCTTTAAACTAAGCGCCCTAACCTGAGCTATATATATATATATATATATCCTAAAACCCTAACACCCAAAAGATTCTAGACCCTCGAAACAAGAAGACCTAGGCGCCAAGACAAATGAACGGGCCAACTGGTGAGCCTCGATTCGCAGGTGGCAGTCCAGTTCGCCAGTAGCCGAGATACCTTCCCAGGGCTTAGGGTTTAGGGTTTAGGGTTGGGGTTTAGGTTTAGGGTTTAGGGTCCAGGGTTTACGGTTTAAGGTTTAGGGTGTGGTGTTTAGGGTTTCGGGTTTAGGGTTTAGGGTTTCGGGGCTTAGGGTTCACCTGGACCCGGAAAGGATCCGCCAGGTAGGGTTTTGGCGGCTCAGGGGCGTTGAGGAGTTGTGGAACAGGCTTTGGCACCCCCCGATAACTTCCCCTGAGGTTGAACTCTTGCTCATTCATTCTATCCTAAGTCCTCATGCCTGAACCTTGAAAGGCAGTTTCTAGATTTGATAGCTCGTTGCTAGGTGCCTTGGCAACTGCTGGCACATGACAGGGAGCGAGGATATACATATGATGTTGTTGTTATTGAGTTCGGATTGTGTGGAATTCGTCCCCCTGACCCTTTGAACCCCAAATCAGCGATCAAGAAGCCCAAACCTTTCATAGGGCTCAGGGTTTATGATCTGCACCCTAAACCCTAGACCCGAAAGCCTACTCAAGGTTCAGAAGGCAGGGTTGGAAAAAGCCCCAAAGTTTTGTCTTCATCCAGGCTAGTACTCAGGTCTAGGAACCCTACATCCCCTAAAACACCCTAGGCCTTGCTGGTTCTTGGACTTCGGAACACAGGGTCCCTAAAGAATGCCTCAGAGTTGTTTATGTGTGGGTATAGGGCACCTGAGGGCCGAAACCCAGACTAAGAAGTAGTAAGAAGCTCTGCTTTCGGCACTGCTCGAGGCAGGTAGGTCTGCGCCTTGCTGCTTAGGGGCATCGCCTCTTGGCAGAGGAATTTGTAGCTTGCATGGGCCATGAGCTATGTATGACAAGCCTGCGGGGGATGCGGCAAGGTACATCATTGAATGGAACAAGGTCATGGATAGGTGCAAGAAGGCTGGCTCCTGGCATGCGGCGCTGGGACTCTGCGAAGAAGCCCCGCGGATTCGTCTTGGAACTCGCTTCCGCAGTTTTAAGGGGTTTAGGCTTTAGGGTTTAGGGTTTCGGGTTTCGGGTTTGGGGTTTAGGGTTTAGGGGCTCATGGCTCTTGTTGACCAGCCGTAACCTTAGCCATGTCTCGACCGACCTTGCGACTGGATCAAATTTAATGCAGTTTAAAGATCTGGGCTACCAAAATGTTCCCTAGGCCTTTTTTAGGGAGAAAAGGGGCACCCTTAAAGGTACGCGTATAGAGGTGACATAAAACCCTGGACGATACAGGCACCCCCCTCAGACTCCTCAGGTTTGCCAACGCCAGCTGCAGCCAACCATTGTCACCTACGGCACGGCCGCCAGCTCCTGTGAGAAGGGCTCTCAGTGGCGCTATGCACGGCACTTGCTGCGCCTTGGATGATCTTGGCAGCCGGTTAGGGTTTAGAGTGTGGGGTTTAGGGTTTAGGGTTACCTTATCCTTAGATTACATGGAATAGTGGCCTTCTATTTTAGGACTATATGATGTGTTCTGTGAGGTTGCAGGTGTATGTCAAGACATCGGCATGTACAGCATCATTGCTACTTAGTGCATTTTACTCTTCACCGCCCGGCAGAGCTGAAGCATCTGTTATTGTAAACCTGGTACATCAATGGCAATAGACCAGGTCTTGTGCCAAATCGGAGGTCCTTTTACCCTAAACCCTAAACCCTAAACCCTAAACCCTAAACCCTAAACCCTAAACCCTAAACCCTAAACCCTAAACCCTAAACCCTAAACCCTATTTGTCGCCCTCGAAGCGCTTTCCCCTCACACGCCGACTCCATTGCAAGTAACAGTGTAAAGTGCCTGCGCGCTCGATCATGCCATGCACCTAAACCCTAAACCCTAAACCCTAAACCCTAAACCCTAAACATCACGGCGGACCAGACAGTTGGGGACCGACCTTCGGCTCGTTGTTTCATGACTAGCCTTTGTAAACCTTTAACGTGTCGGCCTAGAGTTCCCAAGCTTATGTAAACAAATAGCTGCAGGATGGCTCCGTAGATGAAGGTTTAGGGTTTAGGGTTTAGGGTTTAGGGTTTAGGGTTTAGGGTTTAGGGTTTAGGGTTTAGGGTTTAGGGTTTAGGGTTTAGGGTTTAGGGTTTAGGGTTTAGGCGCAAGACAGCTTATGTGTAATATAGGGGTCGTAATACGACTACTCAGAATCTTCCCTTGTGGTCCCTCTGTAATTCTGCAGGCCCCTATAGTAAGGGTACAGATATGCCCAGGTGCAAGGCCGTGCGTGCAGAGTTGCCGGCTGACGCCGTCACCTGGAATCCAGACTGCAATCTTGGTTGGCTACGTAAACCCTAAACCCTAAACCCTAACCCTAAACCCTAAACCCTAAACCCTAAACCCTAAACAAGGGACCACCGGTTTTCATTTGCAGGTGTTCTAAGAACTTGTGTGCTCAAGAACCTAGTGCCCAGAGTAGGCCCTTATTTCCTTTTTTTGGGGCTTAGGTTCCCTTAGAAGCAAATCCCTTTGAAGCAAAGAGGGTGCCCTTTTTATCTTTCCTAGGCTACTCTTGGGTCGAGGAATTCAGTCATCAGCAGCTGCGCGCGCTCCGCAGAATGGCGGCAGGCGGCGCCGTTGTTGGCCCAGCTCCGGCTGCAGGTCCGGGGGACGATCCGGGAAGGGAAGGGAAGGGAAGGGAATCCCGTTTAGGGTTTAGGTTTTAGGGTTTAGGGAATCCCCAAAAAGCTATCCGCCAATCTTGGGCCATGGTTCTTCTGTCGAGTTCCAGAACGATTTCTAAACGAAGCAATCATGCATTTATGCATGTGCCCAAGCACGCGATGTTTGGCACAGAGGTATTGCTTGAGTCTTAGTTAGACTAGCCCTAAACCCTAAACCCTAAACCCTAAACCCTGAACCCTGAACCCTGAACCCTGAACCCTGAACCCTAAACCCTTCCTGGAGGGTGTGCAGCCAACAGCCATCACATTCAGCGCCGCCATCAACGCCCACGAAGCGTCGGGGCAGTGGGCTGTGGCCCTTCGCTACCTGGAGCCTAGGCTCTCTTTTTTTGCGTTTAGGGTTTTAGGGTTTAGGGTTTGAGGGTTTGAGGGTTTGAGGGTTTGAGGGTGGCGAGTGTACGAAGCCCTCTGCGCATCCGGTCTAGCCACGTGCAACCGGTGCGCCTTCCCTTCCCCCTTCGCGAACCCCTAGAGTTCAACAAGCCCTAAACCACCCTCATCACCCTGATCCTTAAGCCCTAAGCCCTAAGCCCCAAGCCCCAAACCCTAAACCCTAAACGCTAAACCCTAAACCCTAAACGCTAAACCCTAAACCCTGCCCTAAACCCTAAACCCTAAACCCTAAACCCTAAACCCTAAACCCTAAACCCTAAACCCTAAACCCTAAACCCTAAACCCTCAGGAAGAAGCGGAGGGCCGGTCCTTGCTCCCCACCCTCATCACCCTGGGCGTGGCCATCAGCGCCTGTGCCAAGGGCGGCACCTGGCGGGCGGCGCTACAGCTGCAGGCGCCCGCTTTGGGGGTAGGGTTTAGGGTTTAGGGTTTAGGGTTTAGGGTTTTAGGGTTTTAGGGTTTTAGGGTTTTAGGGTTTTAGGGTTTTAGGGTTTTAGGGTTTTAGGGTTTTAGGGTTTTTGGGTTTTTGGGTTTTAGGGTTTTAAGGTTTTAGGGTTTTAGGGGTTTAGGGGTTTAGGGTTTAGGGTTAGGGTTGCTGCTTTTTCTCCTCCTGGCAAAAAAGGATACACAGAAACAGACGACTTCACCCCGAATGTTTTTGTATAAGACATTGGTGACAAAAACCCTTCACCCCCAATCTTAAGGGGGGGTTCTCTGGTTTCAGATGTAAGTTGGTTGGGATGCTCCCTCCTTAAGAGGGATTATACTACCCCCTACTATCACCCCTATTAAGGACTGTGAGTCTAAGGGGGGAACATCCCAACGCAGAACCCTGTGCTATAATCCCTATTAAGGAATGCTAGTAATAAGGCGGAACATCCCAAGATTTTGGTGTCAAACCCTAAACCCTCAACTCTCAACCCTAAACCCCAAACCGTGAAGGGGGGGGGGGGGGGGGGTGTCGTTTTTTCGGTTTTGGGATTGAGAGTTCAGGCCGCCTCTGGCTTGCAGCGGCTGCCACCATCTTCAGTCCCCTGGGTCCTTGTTGAGAAACTTTGCAGATGTGCCTTCGAATTCCCTGAGATCTAAGAGAGGAGGACCCTAAACCCTGAAATAAGCCTAAACCCCATGATGCCTACACCCTAAAAATCTTAAACCAACCCTCAACCCTAAACCCGAAACCCGAAACCCTAAACCCTAAACCCTAAACCCTAAACCCTAAACCCTAACCCTAAACCTCCCAAAGGTCAGCTACAACTCGGCACTGGTGGCGTGCCAGCGTGCGGACGACTGGCCCAGGCACCTCCATCCTGTTTCTTTGGAGCTTCAGAGCTTATCGGGTTTAGGGTTTGGGGTCAGGGTTTGTAGGTTAAATTTAGAGTTTTTACTATCAGTTTTTGGGTTCGGGGTTTAGGGTTTGTGTTTTTAGGGGGTTAGGCTTTTCAGTGTTAAGGGATTGGAGGCATCCAGGGCAGGATGTTCTAGTTCGATCCAAAAATCCGGGTTCAGGCCCTTTTTCCCGTTTTTTGGTTCAAGGTTCCCCAAAAGAAGGGTGGCCTTATCTTTATATGGCTACTGGGCTACCAAGCCTAGAGAAACCCTAAAACCCCAAACCCCAAACCCCAAACCCCAAACCCCAAACCCCAAACCCCAAACCCTAAACCCTAAATACCCTAACCCTAAAACCGAAACCTTGTACAGTTCAGCACCAGGGCCGTGGTCCTTCTGGCAGAGATGGCAGCCAACGTCGCTTTGCCCTGCGTCATCTCCTACAGCACCCAGGACCCAGAGTAGAACCTTGTTCCTTTTTTCAGGGTTTTGGTTTTTCTTATACTCCTCTTCAAACCTCTTAAACCTCTTAAAACCCCTAAACCCTAAAGCCTAAACCCTAAACCCTAAACCCCGAACCCTAAACCCTAAACCCTAAACCCTGGGTCTAGGCACAGCGCTGGGCGCTTGCCAGCAGCCGGGCTGGTGGCAAGTGGCCTGCAGCCTGCTGCACGAAGCCCAGGGCAAAGGCCTGGGCATGAGTCTTGCTGGCTCTTAGTAGGGAAGGCACCTCATATCCCCCCTATAGACATATATACATCATTCATTCACCGCCTCTCTGAAGTGTTGGCTCCACGGGCGAGCGGAGGGTCCTTGCCCTGAGTAGAATTTGTAATGCTGGACTGGATTCCCCTTCCCTAGAATCCCAACAAAACGCGGCCATAAGGGAACTTGCAGGCATCCTTTGCAAACAGCATCATACTCTCTTCCTCTCTATGCATGTGTATACATAATATATATATATATATATATATACGTATATATATATGTATATGTACATATATTTTTGTTTAGATTTTTTTATTGATATATTTATATTTATACATATTGGTTTATTTGTATACACATATATATATATATATACATATGTAGCAGAGAAATATGTACATATTTTCCATATAAAGAGAGAGAGAGAGAGAGAGAGAGAGAGAGCCCTTTAAGGGATGAACGGGTAAGGAATGTAGTCATCTACAACTCGGCCATCAGCGTGTGCGAGAAGGGCGAGGAGTGGCAATGCGCGCTGCTGCTGCTAGGGGAGGCCACCAGCCACCAGGCGCATGGTTTGGGGTTCAGGGTTTAGGGTTTAGGGTTTAGGGTTTAGGGTTTAGGGTTTAGGGTTTAGGGTTTAGGGTTTAGGGTTTAGGGTTTAGGGTTTAGGGCGTTTAGGGTTTAGGGTTTAGGGCTCGAAGACACCTATTGTGGAATGATCCCCTGCAAAGCTGCGAAACCTGAAACTCGAGTTCCTTGGCGGTTGCAGGTCCAGCTGGATGTGATCTCCTACAACTCTGCCCTCAGCACGTGCGGGAAGGCCAAGCAGAAAGGTTTAGGTTTCGGGTGTAGGGTGCAGGGGTTAGGGTGTAGGGTTTAGAGTTTAGGGTGCAGCGTCGCACATCCCTTTCGAAGAAGACGCTCTTAAACTCACTGACTAGACACCCAGAATCGCGGAAGCATGCTTGATGGCATGTGACTTACGCCACAAAGCGATGTACATTCGTGCAACTGAACGCCGAAACACACGCGCAACACTCATAAGACAGAGCAAGGACATCTGCCCACCTCCAGCCACAGAGTTACAATCAGCAGAGGGTTCTACATGCGCGTCTACAAAGAACAGACATTGCAGTGCGTTGCTTTGCACATGCAGGAACGATCCTGTGGTTAGCATGAACCTTTCACGCGTACTCGCCGGCCACTGCTGAAAGCAGGCCCTCAACGCCAGACCCTATCATAAGCCTATAAACCCTAAACCCTAAGCCCTGAACTCAAGCCGATCACGTGCGCTGAAAACAGGCCATGGAGTGGCAAGCAGCATTGAGCCTTTGGGGGCAACTGCAGCGTCAGCGCTTGCAGCTCCATGGTTGCTTTTGTGGGGGCGCAGGACCGGGTTTAGGGTTTAGGGTTTAGGGCTTAGGGTTTAGGGTTTAGGGTTTAGGGTTTAGGGTTTAGGGTTTAGGGTTTAGGGTTTAAGATTTAGGGGGAGGCAGGGTTAACGAGGTGTGCTGGGGTTGGGGATGTTTGCCTCCTCAAGCTCAAAAAGCCCGCAACCCTAAGCCCTACGCCCGTACTCCCAGACTCCTGGGAGGATCCAAGAAGTAAAGTAGATCCCTTTACGGGTTCCTAAGAATGACCCACCCTAAACCCTAAACCCTAAACCCTAAACCCTATACTATTTGGGGGTTCTTCAATTCTGGTCCTCCCTTCTGGCACCAGAGGCCCACGACAGTCACCTGCAACTCTGCCATCACAGCCTGCGAGCGTGCGGCGATTTGGCAGCTGGCGCTCCTCCTGCTGGAGGAGGCAAGGTTGAGGCATGCGGAAGTAATGGTTCGGGGTTTAGGGTTTAGGGTTTAGGGTTTAGGGTTTAGGGTTTAGGGTTTAGGGTTTAGGGTTTAGGTAGGGAACGAGCATGCAAGGGTTTCGGGGCATTATCATAAGGGTAATGAGAGTAATGTCCCGCGCTTTCGGTGTCAGGGAAGTTTTTGCTTTAAGGTTGAGTTTGAGGTATAATATACGGGTCGGCATAATTACAAATAGTATTCCCTTATGGTCCCTTCATAAGTATACTATAAGAACCCCCAAAAGCCTTTTTTTAATTTTACTTATGAAGGCCCCTACATTAAATTTCGCCACTTCTTTGATCAGGAAGCCCAGAAAGGAGCTGGAATCTTTAGCACCGTTGCTTCTATGCCTGCTTAGGGTTTGGAATTTAGGGCTGCTAATTGATTAGGAACTCCAAAAACATAAAGAAAATACACGACTCTACAGGACCCTTATATGGAAGAATATTTCTATTTTTTTGTGGGGTTTCTTAAGCAAATAGTAGTTTTGGGTTTTCGGGTATTTAGGGTCTGCTGGGATATATTGCGGGCGCCCACCCCATAGGCAGAAGCGGCGCGCCTCGCGAGCGATGGGATCACGTACAACTCCGCCATTTCGGCCTGTGAGGCTGGGCTTCTATTAAGGGACCGGCTTTGACTTTTTGGGGTTTAGGGTTTAGGATTCAGGGTTTAGGGATTAGGGTTTAGGGTTTAGGCCACAGGATGGACTCATAGAAAACAACAGCAGGGTCTCAGTTGCGATGGTAACGAAAAAAATTGAGCGCCACTGCAAAGCCGAGGAGAAGGCCAGCCAGTGGCAGAGGGCCCTGAGCGCCGTGGCAATTCGACTTGGCTTCCTTTTGGCTGGCTCTTGGTACTTGAACCTTTTGGGCTGTTGAAGAAACTACAATAAGGAGCCTATAAGTTAAACTTTAAGGAGGGGTTCAGACGTCCGCCAGGCACTTCGGGCCAGCCTTTGGTAGCCCAGTGGCGTCCTTTGCCCCTTTTTGTTTTGGTTTGGGGTCTGGGGTTTAGGGTTTAGGGTTTAGGGTTTAGGGTTAAAATGGTACCCTCACAACCTGCCAAGCCTCACCGTTGGGGTGACCGAGGCTTGCTAGGGCGAGCCGAGCAACGGCGGCTGCCCCGATCCTTGCAAGTCGATGTTGCTGGTTTTGGGGTTTAGGGTTTAGAGGGTTTAGGGTTAAGGGTTTAGGGGTTAGGGTTTAGGGTTTAGAGGGGTATTTAGGGTATCCAGGGTGTTTAGGGTATTTCGGGCATTCAGAGTATTTGAGTTGTTTAGGGTATCTTGCGTATTTAAGGTACTCAGGGTATTCAGGGCATTTAGCGGTGTAGGGTCGCTAGTGTAGTTCGGGTAGTTCGGATGTTTAGGCCTCCCATGTATTGACTGTCAGGGTACAGTGGCAGTCGTTGTGGTACATTGAAGTCCCGAATAGGAACACGATCCCCTAGATTAAGCTTTCCTGGGTTTAGGTCCAGCATAGGAACACTACAACGATCCCCCAGAAAAAAAACCCTACGTTAAGGCTGCAGGGGTTTAGGTGTTAATTTTACGTTCAACGTCAGGGGCCCTTAGTTAGTGCTGTTTCCTTTCGCGGACCAAGCCCTCAACCCTAAATCCTAAGAACCCTACAAAAGACCTATAAACCCTCTAAACCCTAAAACCCCTAAAAACCTGTAACCCCTCTAAACCCACAAACCCTAACCACTGCCACCCTGCCACGCCTTCCTCCGTCGAGGATCCGCCACCGGCTACAGCGCGGCGATCAGCGCCTGCGCACGCCGGGCCGAGTGGCAGGCGCTCCAGCAGTCTTGCCCTAGGGCTATTTTCGTTTTTTTTTTTTTTTTTGTTTTGTTTTTTTTGGGGTTTTGCGTTGTGTTTTTGGTTTTTATGTTCTTTTTGTTTTGCTTTATGGGGTTTTGGGACTTCTTGGGTTTGGGTTGTTTTTTTTTTTTTTTTTGGGGGGGGGGTAGTTTTTGGGTTCAGGGTATAGGGCTTTTTCTATGTTTTTTTGCTTGCTTTTTGGGGTTTGGGATGCTTTTTTGGTTTTGGGTTGTTTTTTTGGGCTTTTTGGGGTTTAGGGTTTGGGTTTTTTGGGGGGTTCAGGGGCTTGGTGTTTGCGAGCTCCGAGCGCTGGGGCCCGAGTTGGCCAGCGGCTCCCGACAATCTGAGCCCTAGCCCCCAAGCCTCGAACCACTGCAGCAACCAATGCTAACGGGTTTTGGGTTTAGGGTTTAGGGTTTAGGGTTTAGGGTTTAGGGTTTAGGGCCCGAAATCGTTTAAGTGTATGCAGGTTGCCTTGGCTCTGCTCGAGGCGATCACGCAGGTGGGAGTTGCCAGTCGGCAAGGACAAACCCTAAACCCTAAACCCTAAACCGTAAACCCTAAACCCTAAACCCTGGAATTGTTCGGGAGTGGGCAGCCCCCCCCCCCCCCCCCCCCCCCCCAGCCGCATCTCAAGAGCAGCAAGCCCTGACGTCCACAGGCCCTTAGAACCTTTCGGCCTGCACCCCCCATTTTAGCAGCCCGGTGGTTTAGGGTTTAGGGTTTAGGGTTTAGGGTTTAGGGTCCTCATCATCTACATGAGATGTGGTTTTTGAAGCCTTCACTCATGCCAGCTGCTAGAAGAGTGAGAGTAGGCCATCATTCCAATGGTCTTTGAGGGTTGAGGTTCCCTTATAAGCCCTAAACCCTAAACCCTAAACCCTAAATCCTAAACCCTAAACCCTAAACCCTAAACCCTAAACCCTAAACCCTAAACCCTAAACCCTAAACCCTAAACCCTAAACCTAAACCCCAAACCCTGTCGTTCCTAGACTCCTCTTGGGCGCGGCCGAGGTCGATGCCATCCTACTGAGCGCCAGCATCAGCGCCTGCGACCGGGGAGCCGAGTGGCAGAGGGCCCTACTTCTGCTGACCGACTTCGAGGCCCTAAACCCTAAACCCTAAACCCTAAACCCTGCAAAGGGGTTTTCAGGGGTGTCCAGGGTGTTCTGGGTTTAGGCTTCAAGGCTGAGGGTTTACAAGGTAGGGTTTAGGGTCTAGGGTTAGGGTTTATCGTGTTCAAGGTGTTTAGGGTTCAAGGCGCACTGGTGTTTTAGGGGCCAAAGCACCCCCCAAGTGAGGGCCTTAAAAGGAACGTTCAGGGATGTATGTTTTGCGGCATCTTGAGGAATAGTCTTTCTGTTTTTCGGGTTGGGGTTTCCTTGTAATCCCCTTAGAGCCAAAAAGGGTACCCTTTCTATTCCTAGGCTATTCCTGGGTCCAGTATTTCAAGGGCCTGGGCAGGGCTCAAGTTGCGGGATTTTGGGGGCGGCTTTCGGGGTTTCAAGGTTCCGAACTCGTTTTAGATTGAGCCCTAAGTCCTAAACCCTAAACCCATATTCGAGGACGCTTGGAACGCGCCTTTGTGGATCCAAAGACGGCGCCCAAAGCTTCGGGTTTTTGTGGTGCTTCCTCAGAGAGGTGTGGGGGGCGTTCTGACAGTCTTCCCTGCCTAGTTCCGGCCTGGCCCCAATGTTCTGCTCCTAAAGGATTCTGCTAGGGTTTAGGGTATTTGGGTTTAGGATTTAGGGGTTTATAGGACTGCAACTAAAGATCTAGGTAGGCCCATCTACCCGAAACCTGGTCCTTAACTTAGAAGCTGAGTGAGTACACTTTACACTTTTTGGTATACGATAATCTCTACAACGCCAACAGTGTACACTTTTTGGGGGCTTCTAAACCCTAAAACCCTAAAACCCTAAAACCCTAAACCCTAAACCCTAAAAGCCCTAAACCCTAAACAGCCAGGCGCACCAGCTGCAGCCAACGTCAGTCACCCTGGGCGCCGTCCTTAGCGCCTGCGCCAAGGCTTCGGAGTCTTGGATGCGATGCCAGTGATGGCAACCGTGGCAGGTCCTTTGCCCCCTAAACCCTAAACCCGAAACCCCTACACCCCTAAACCCCTAAATCCCTAAACCGCTGAACCCCTAAACCCGAAAGCCTAAGCTTTTAGAACCCTTTGCTCTGCACTCCCATGGTTTAGGAGCCCCCCAACTCTCCAGCAAGTCCAGCCCCAGAAGTTGAGGAGACATAACCCTTCCATACATACGCACGGGGCTTTCATAGGGTTTAGGGTTTAGGGTTTAGGGTTTAGGGTTTAGGGTGTTCATCTGGGGTGAGAATACCGGCGTCTCCCGGATATTTCGGCCCCAGGAGTGGGCACGGGCCCTGTGGCTCCTTGCGGGCTCCCTGGCACAGCGCCTCGATGCCTCTGAGATCGCGCGGCCCGGCGGAAATTCGGTTGTTGGCCTTGGGAGCCCAGTGGTGCCCTTTTCCCTTTTTTTTGGGGGGGTTCTGGGTTCCCTTTCTAAAGTAAATTCTCATATGGTTACTGGGCTACGAAGTCGCGAGGCTTCTAAGGCTTTGAAGGGTTTAGGGGGTTCATCTAGAGGGTTTGGGGGTTAGGAGGTTCCGGTGGTTAGGGCAGGGCTCAGGTTCATGGCTCTTAGCTCGGGAAAAGTGTAGTGTTGAGGATTCAGGTGTCAGATAGCTTAGGACCGACCCTGAAGCCTATCACTATACTCAACTCGATGAAACCCTGAACCCTGAACCCTGAACCCTAAACCCTAAACCCTAAACCCTAAACCCTAAACCCTAAACCCTAAACCCTAAACCCCAAGCCGGCAGGTACAGTGCAGCCATCAGCTCCTGCGAGAAGGCCGCCCGGTGGCGTCCGGCGCTGCAGCTCCTCTTCGACATGGAGTCGCAGAGGCTGGAAGGGTTTAGGGTTTAGGGTTTAGGGTTTAGGGTTTAGGGTTTAGGGTTTAGGGTTTAGGGTCTAGGGTTTAGGGTTTAGGGTTTAGGGTTTAGGGTTTAGGGTTTAGGGTGTTTAGAGATTTAGGGTGTTTAGGGGTTTAGGGTTTTTAGGGCTGTTGCTGCTTTCATGTTTAAGGTGTGGGGTTTGCGGTTTTTTTGAGGTTGTGCCATCCAGCAAGCCCCAAAGAACCTATGCGCCATGAAGCCTGAATGCTCACAGCTCATTGAGGTGTTAGGAGGGTTGGGCCATCTTAGAAGCCAAACACCCTGCGCACTGCAAAGTTTCCCTAGACCCCAAATCGTAAGCCCTAAACCCTGAACCTTAAACCCTAAACCCCTAAACGATAAACCCTATAAACAATCAACCCTAAACCCTAAACCCTACATCTTAAACAACAACCCCTCAATGCCACTTTTGAGGCTTTTCTGCGACCTGATCACCTACAACGCCGCCATCAGCGCCTGTGAGAAGGCCGGCTTCTGGCAGAAAGCCCTATGGTGTCCCGCCTTGCAAGACCCTGTCTACTATTGGCTCAGGGTTTAGGGTTTAGGGCTTTTTATGCCTGTGATGCCCGAGTGAAGCCTAAGCACCCTTAAGGTTTACTGTAGGGTTTAGGGCTTGGGGTTTTGTGTTTGTAGCCCTAAACCCTAAACCCTAAACCCTAAACCCTAAACCCTAAACCCTAAACCCTAAACCCTAAACCCTAAACCCTAAACCCTAAACCCTAAACCCTAAACCCTAAACCCTAAACCCTAAACCCTAAACCCTAAACCCTAAACCCTAAACCCTAAACCCTAAACAAACGAGCCCAGGCTCATGGAGGAAGCCGTGGAGAGGGAGCTCGAGCTGGATGTCATAACCTTTAACTCGGCCATCAGCGCCTGCGAGCGGGCCATCATGCAGGCGTCCCAACGGCCCGGCTGATCTGGCCCTGCCGAAGCCCTTACAAGCGCCTTATATAGCCTAACACCTTAAGCCCTAAACCCTAAGCCCTAAACCCTAAACCCTAAACCCTAAACCTCAGAAGGCCCAAAAGCCACCCCGCAGTTTTGGAGGAAGGCCGTCAGGGAGCCATGCCTCCCAGACTTTCCTTCTCTTCAGCTCTTGGTTCGACTTTGCGTCGCGGCGTGGTGCAAAAGGCCTACGGACATAAGCCCCGGCCTTGCCCAGTTTAGGGCTTAGGGTTTAGGGCTTAGAGTTTAGGGTTTAGGGGTTAGGGTTCAGGGTTTAGGGGTTAGGGTTTAGGGTTTAGGGTTTAGGGTTTAGGGTTTAAGGTTTAGGGTTTAGGGTTTAGGGAGACCCCCCCAATGCTCCGAACACAGCAAAAGGTTCGTTGCAGGCTGAAGGAGGCTGTGCCTTTAGGGTTTCTGTTTTGGGTTTTTCAGGACATTCCATGAAGGTCCATGTATGGGGTTCGTTGAACCTCTAAACCTGAAACCTAAGCGCGAAGCCCTAAACCCCAAACCATGGATCCCGGGGGGGGGGGGGGGGGGGGGAAAGGTGGGGTGGTTTTGGCAGCTTAGGGTGTGGAAAGACTCCCCCCCAGCCTCAAAAAGAATAACCTTCAGTGTTTGTGTTCAGTGGGACTTCTTGGGGTTTAGTAAGGTTTGGGGTTAGGGTTTAGGGTTTTTGACGCTGCAGTTTCCTCCCCTCAACCCCCTAAACCCTAAACCCTAAACCCTAAACCCTAAACCCTAAACCCTGAACCCTGAATCCTGAACCCTGAACCCTGAACCCTGAACCCTGAACCCTGAACCCTGAACCCTGAACCCAAATCCCTAACATGCTGTCCTCGGATCTCCCAGGTCGCCAGCTCATGGCCCTCAACGAGACCGGCTGCGAGGAGGAGGAGGAAGACAAAAAGGTGGGATGAGGGGGTGGGGTTTAGGGTTTAGGGTTTAGGGTTTCAGGGTTCAGGGTTTAGGGTTTAGGGTTTACGGTTCAGCGATCTTGGGATTAGGGTTAGGATTCTCTGGTTGTGGACCTACAGGGCTCAGCTTCAGAGTTTTGAGGTTTTTGTGCTGAGGCCTTCAGGAAATCGTGGTGTTTGTTGTGGTACCTGTACGGGGCTACACGATACAGTTCCTCCTGAAAAGGTATCTCTCCTCTTCTGGTTCGTATAGGCAATAACCCTAAACCCCAAACCCTAAACCCTCAATCCTAAACCCTAAACCCCAACCCCTAAACCCTTTTCTTCTTGGCTAGGTTCGCTTCGAATGCGAGCCTGTTGAGCAAGAGAGGGCTGCCTTTTGGATTCCCAGCTTGCCAAGAACCCTGGAACTTGCAGAGATGCAATCCTGAGATTTTGGGGTGCAGGGTGTAGGGCCGTAGGGTTGAGAGTGTATAGACTCTGACCCCCTTGGCCTACCCGCCCGCCACACCCATGCGTGCCATTTGTTGAGGCGAAGGGTGGGGGAGGGGTCTCTTCAGCCTTCTTGAGCTGCCAATCTTGAGGGCTTCGGCGGCCCATAGGAGATTCGATTCAACCCTACAAGCCCGAATCCCTAAACCCGAAACCCTGAACCCTAAACCACCTACACCTGACCTGAACCCGAAAGCTGAAGCCCTAAGCAGAAGCCCTAAGTACGCCGACTTCAGCATTGATCCACCGAAGGTTCTGGCAGAGCGGGAGGAGCGGGTCATGCGCTTCTGCCCCGAGGCGAGGCCCCCCTCTCTGGTACGTATATCTTGGCAGACCAGTGGTACCCTTTTCCCTTTTTTGTTGGTCCAAAGGTTCCCTGATAAAGTAACCCAGTGGTACCCTTTTCGTTTTTTTTGTTGGTCCAAAGGTCCCCTTATAAAGTAACCAACCCCCCAAAAAAGGGTGCCAATATCATAACATGGTTGCTGGGCTACCAAGACACGTAGCTACGCATATGCTGGATGCTGGAGGTCGAGGGGTTCCTCTTGATGCTTCGTGGTTCCCCAAATAGGGTTCATGTTACCTGCGTAGTCTCTACTTGGGCCTTCAAGGGGTTCCCATATTTAGTAGCTTTAAGGCCCAGGTACATGCTATACCTACTACACAGGTACATGGACCCTTTGGGGGTTTGAGATGGCCTGGTAACCCTAAACCCTAAACCCTAAACCCTAAAACCCTAAACCCTAAACCCTAAACCCTAAACCCTAGACCCTAAACCCTAAAGGTGTAAACAAGGAGAAACTGCTAAAGCCCCTTGCCGAGAGGTCATGGATGCCGCGCTGTCGGCGGAGTCTCGCCAGGCGGCATCGGCGCATGCTGCACGCGTTGCGAGCCATCATTGTAGGGTTTAGGGCTAGGGTTTAGGGTTTAGGGTATAGGGTTGCTTTGTGGCGTGTGTACACTGTGCTGTCAGCATGAACCACCAGGCTCGGAGCCACCAAAAAAGGCTGATCAGCACTCCAAAGACTGACAAGCCCCTGGATAGCGGTTCCCATGCCAAACCTCTACTATACTTTAAAGCGTCTTTTGGTTCTGGGTTCCTCTTTTTGCTACCTACACCCAGAAAGTATATACTCCTTTTTCCAGGGTCTACTCCAAAGTAGGGATGCAGTGTACCTCAGATCATTTGGAGCAGGCCACAGCGCAGAGCCTCGTCCGGGGGGCCAGCAAGGTCCGGATGTTTTTGCTGGGTGCATCCTAAGCCCTAAGCCCTAAACTCTCAAGGTTTAGGGCTTAGGATTTAGGATTTAGGATTTAGGGTTTAGGGTTTAGGGTGTAGGGTTTAGGGTCCCTCAATCCTAGAAGCCCCAAATCCCCAAGCCACAACTACGTTGCCATGCACAGGTGGCCTGCAGGGGTTCAGGGATCAGGGCCCTCTAAACACTAAAATCCTGAACCCCTGAACCCTAAGCCGAAGCGAGTAGCAGTTCTTTAATCTCCAAGCCCTTTTACTCAAAGACCAGTGCGAAACTTGACAACCCCCTCCCACCCACCCCCAGCTCCCTCCCGCCCCTCCCCCCCACCTCCCACCCTAAACCCTAAACCCTAAACCCGAAACCCTAAACCCTAAACCCTAGGCCAAGAAGCCACACTTCGCCATCGACAGCAGAGCTTTGGGGATTGGTGAACCCCAAACTTGTAGGCGTACTTGAAGGCTCATGGGTACTTAAGAGGTCTGATTGTCAGTCCCCTCAATAAGGACATAACCAGAATTTCCCTACTTATAAGCCCACGTTTGAGTAACCATGACCCTCCAAGTAGGAACTCCGAGAACTCTTCCGGCGCCGGCTGTGGAGGTTCTGGCGGAGCACCGGGGGCATCAGAAGAATCTGGAGAGGCTGAAGATTGCAGCCTGGGCCCTGGATCAGGGGGTTCCAGAGGGCGCGGAAGGGGAATGGGGTTAGGAGGGTTTAGGGTTTAGGGTTCAGGGTTTAGGGTTTAGGGTTTAGGGGGTTCGGGTCCATAGGGTTCAGGGCTTAGGGTGTGGCAGTTGGCAGTGCTCTGACATGCATGGCCCAGCCAATGGCAAGTAGGATTGCTACGCCGTAGTTCAGCATTAGTTCAGCATAAACCCTAAACCCTAAACCCTAAACCCTGAACCCTAAACCCCCTACCCCAAACGCCCTCTTACTGTACCAGGCGCTAATCCCCGGTCCTGCAGCTTTGCAGACCTCCCCTCCCTCTCTGGGCCCCCTGGCCCCCCCTGGCCCCCCCCCTGGCCCTTTTTTGCCCCCCCCCCCCCCCCGAACCCAGGAGCAGGAGCAGGAACTGGACACCCAGGCCAGCTCTGAAGCCGACCGAGTGGATGGACTCGAAGAATTCAGGGACCCCAAAGCTTGAACACCGGACCGCTTAAACCTACATCCATTTCAATATACCCCTTTTATGAAACCCTATATATATGTATATATGTATATATATATATATATGTATATGTATATATATATATATATGTATGTATATATATATATATATCTATCTATATCTATATATAACGTAAGGTACCCGTTTGAAGACACTATGAAGCTGTCAAGTCCTAGCACACCCTAACGCCCCGAAAAGACAAAATGAGAACTATACAGAATCCTGAAGTCCAAAAGCATATCATGTACAAACGCAGCCCTGAACCTTATAGGCTTCCGGAGGGTTCAGGGACGCTCACCGTTTTGGTTAAAACCTAAACCCTAAACCCTGACCTCCCCTCTGGTGAGAAGGAGCCGCTCGGCGGCCGGCGGACAAGCGACCAGTCAGCGCTGCAGAACGCGGTGGCCATGAACAACCGGTCCAAGCAGGGGGGGCCCAGACTGCCCAGGGTTTAGGGTTTAGGGTTTAGGGTTTAGGGTTCAGGGTTTAGGGTTTAGGGTTTAGGGTTTAGGGTTTAGGGTTTAGCCCTAAGGATCCATGTACCTACATAGTATATGCGTGGGCTGTGAAGCTACTGCATAGGAACCTCTTTAAGGCCGTAGTGTATACTATATAGGTACATGGATCCTTAGGCTAGGGGCTTGAGGGTGTTAGTTATTCGGGGTTCGAGGGGTTTACTTGCGGGAAGGATGACAGACATGACTTTCCGCGTTTCTTGATGGGTGGCGTTCATGGGACCTAAACCCTAAACCAGAATCCCTAGACCCAAAACCCTGAAGTTGAACTTAGTTCGCATTTTGTTGTTTTTGGTTTTTATTGGGGGGGGGTGGGGTGTATGTAGATCCTGGAGAGCTAAGGCAGCCCAGTCGAGCTTTCAAGGTGTTCAGGGTTTCAAAGGCCTTTTGGGGTTTCTATTCATGGGTTCCCCTACTACCCCCTCTATACCCCCTAGAATATCGGGAGGGTAGTAGGGAAACCCATGCCAAGCTGGAACGCCTGTGTTGACCGTGAATCCTAAACATCTTCAACCCCGACCTGCCTTAAACCCGCAAACCCGATCAACCCGACAAACCCCTTAACCCCACCGCTAAACCCCAAACCCTAAACCCTAAGCCCTAAACCCCAAACCCCAAACCCTAAACCAAAAAAACCCCAAACCCTAAATCCAAAAACCCCCAAGACTCAGTTCACTCCCAAGGAGCCGCTGCCTTGGCGGCCCCTGGCGCCGCCGGGGCGCCGCCGCGCCGCCTTTGCGCTCGGCGACGCCCATGCCGCCGCCTTGGGGGGAGGGGGGTGGGGGGGTTTGGGGTTTGGGGTTTGAGGGTTTGGGGTTAAGGGTTTTAGGGTTTTAGAGATTGGGGTTTAGGGTTTAGGGTTTAGGGTTTAGGGTTTGGGGGCTACAGGGTTTGGGGTTTGGGTTTAGGGTTTTAGGGTTTAGGGTTTGGGGTTTAGGGTTTGGGTTTGGGGTTTCGGTTTGGGGTTTAGCATTTTAGGGTTTCGGGTTTCGGGTTTGGGGTTTCGGGTTTCGGGTTTGGGTTTGGGGATTAGCGTTTTCTGTTTGGGATTTGGGGTTTAGGGTGGGGGTGGGGGTGGTGGGGGGGCCTTGAGGCTAACACAGTTTGCGGATTTGGGCTTTAGCGTTTCTTTTGTAGCTAATGAAATGTTATTATTGTGTCTTTTTTTTTCGGGGGTGGGGGGGGGGTGTGAGGTGTAGGCGCTGAATTTCTGCATCGGCTTAGGCTTGTGGTGGAGCTGGATTCGAAGTCCGACGTGAGGGTGTGTTCAATGCCGGTTCAAGACCAGACGGGCTCACCAAAGCCCTATAAACGCAATGCCCGTATAAGCACTAAACCCGAATCCCTAAGCCTTATGCCCTTCGCTAAACCCTAAACCCTAAACCCTAAACTCTAAACCCTAATCCCTAAACCCTAAACCCGAAGCGCCATCTCCAGGGTGGACGAGTGTTGCTCAGCCCGGGCCTCGCCAGACTTCAGGAAGATCCGGCAGGAGCAGGGTTTAGGGTTTAGGGTTTCTGGTTTTGGGTTTAGGGTTTTAGGGTTTTAGAGTTTCAGGGCTTTAGGGTTTTAGGGCTTTAGGGGTTTAGGGTTTTAGGGTTTAGGGTTTAGGGTTTATAGGGTTTAGTGTTTAGGTTTCAGGGTTTGGGGTGTTTAGGGCTTAGGGACGTTTGGGTTAAGGCGCTTTCGGGCTAGGGAATTTTGGGTGTGGGCTTCTCTGTCAAGGGAAGACAGATTAAGATCCTTTTACTTACTCACCAAGCACTCTGAAGTCACATGGGTAGTTCTCCAAATTAGGGCCTATGTTTAGGGACCCTTGTTAGCCCTAATTTAGAGAACTACGCACATGATGATCATCGGCGGTCCTGGCATAGAAGCCCCTCTACTTGGAGGTTCATGGTACTCATTAACCAATCATGACTGTACCTATAACCCACTTATAGGCCCCTTAAGTGCCCCAATATGGTTACAAGTACAGTCATAAGTACAGCTCCTCAACCCTAAACCCTAAACCCTAAACCCTAAACCCTAAACCCTAAACCCTAAACCCTAACAAGTACAGCTATTATTGGTTAAAATAAGTACCATGAACCTCCAAGTAGCGCCCCGCTCGGGGCTCGGCCAGGACCTGCCACGAAAGGAGAAGATCATTGCCGCCCGACGCTATAGGAAGAAGCAGGCCCGGGGGGGGTTTAGGGTTTAGGGTTTAGGGTTTAGGGTTTAGGGTTTAGGGTTTAGAGCTTTAGGGTTCAGGGTTCAGGGTTCCAGTGATTTGAGTTTAGGGGCTTGGTAGGGGTTGTTAGGAATTGGGGTTCGTTCATCTGGTTTGGGGTCTAGGGCCTGCAGACGCTGTGGGGTGTAGATGTGAGAGCTGTTTCAGTTTCTTCATAACTTCCAGCGAGAATTATATACATATGTATATATATATGTGTTATTTATATATATATATCTCTCTCTCATTGGGATAGGGGTTTCGGATCAAATTTGGCCTATAGCCCCCCACAAACCCCGACCCCGGTTGGTGTATCTTGGCTGGGGGATATTGCAAATCCCAAGAGGGTCCACTTGTAGTACCCTAAACCCTAAATCCTAAACCCTAAACCCTGAACCTGACACAGCATGGTTTTGGGTAGGGAGTGCATCCACGGAACGCGACGGAAGAGGGAACCTTGACGACGCAGACTGTTTGACGATCAGTATGCTAAACCCTAAACCCTAAACCCCCTAAGCAGCTGTCGCAGCGGCTGTCAGCCGCAGCCGAGCCCATTTGCGTGAATGACTCCCATGGACAAACAGAGCAGACTAGAAGCTCCGCCCATTCGAGACCCCAAACACTAAGCCCTAAACCCCAAGACTTGGGGTTTGGGGTTTAGGGTTTAGGGTTTAGGGTTTCGGGTTTCGGGTTTCGGGTTTCGGGTTTCCACTTAGTGGAAATCTGAACTAGCATTGGTTCGAGGGATTGTACCTTGGAACCTAAAGCTTAAGGTTGTAAACCCTAAACCCTAAACCCTAAACCCTAAACCCTAAAACCCTTAGGGTTTCGAGGACCGTTTGGATAAGAGCTGTATTCGTGGCGTAATATGGGCCAATGGGGGAACCTTTAGGGGTGAAACCCTAAAAATAAAACCCTAGACCCTAGACCCTAAACCCTAAACCCAGTCTTAAACCCTGAAATGATGACGTAAACGTGTTTGCCCTGGGCAGGAGGCCTTGCGGCAAGTGCACGGTCGAGCTTCTCCGACGCAGTGGGGTTTAGGGTTTACAGGGCTTCTGGTTGGGTTTAGGGTTTAGGGTTAAGGGTTTAGGGTCTGGGGTCTAGGGTCTAGGGCTTATTGCTTAGGGTTTAGGCTTTAGGGTTTAGGGTTTGCAGCGGGTATATAGTGGTTGGTGCGAGAAGCTCCAGAGTTCTCAGAAAGGCTGCCTGTGCGGCGCATGGTTTGGTGGGACACTTGGCGTGCCGTCGATACGTGTAGTTCTCAAATTCAACCCAAACCCTATAAAACCTCAACCCTGAACCCTGAACCCTAAACCCTAAACCCTAAACCCTAAACCCTAAACACTAAACACTAAACCCTACCAGAACCCAAACACGAAATGCCAGCACATGGTGCCAAGGTCACCGACCTAGGCTTCGGCGTTGCCGTGGCTCGGTACGATCGCAATACCCAAAGCAGTGGTTGTCGGAGGGTCTTCCGTAGCCGCGTTAGCCACTTTTAGGGTTTAGGCTTTAGGGTTCAGGGTTTAAGGTTTAGGGTTTTGGCTTTTGGGTTTTGGGTTTTTGGGTTTTTGGGTTTTGGGTTTTTGGGTTTTTGGGTTTTTGGGTTTTGGGTTTAGGGGATGTTCAGGGTTTATAGGCACGAGGGTCCAACACGTTCCAGTAGAAGCAAGCCGGCATCGAAAACTCCCCCAAAGCCTGAACTCTGCAAGCGCCACAGCTTTCTCCTTTCTGTTTTCAGCGTGGCATTATTCCCGAAGCCTTTCGCTTGTTCTCACCAAGAGTATCCAAACCACAAACCCTAAACCCTAAACCCAAAAACCCTAAAACCCTAAACCTTAAACCCTAAACCCTAAAGCCCTGAATGCAGGAGACCTTGGGACGGACACCCTCTCCGCGGCCAAAAGAAGTGGACAATCGCCCGGTAGGACGCTCAGATGGATCCCGCCCGGGTTTAGGGTTTCAAGGGGTTAGGGTTTAGGATTTTGGGTTTCAGGGGTTTAGGGTTTAGGGTTCAGGGTTTACTCACGGATTAGGGTCTAGGGTCTAGGGTCTGAGGGTTTAGGGTTTAGGGTTTAGGGTTTAGGGTTTAGGGTTTAAGACCCAATCTTTCGCAAATCAGGGGGGGGAAAGGAATCCTGGTCCCGAAGATCCAGGTAACGTCATCCCCGTCCCAGGTCTGCTGCAGCCCGGAGGTCTCTGCTTGGCGGTCGCCTACCCCACTAGAACAGCGCCTCATGGAGGACGTTCGGGGATTCATAGGGCCTATGGAGTTTAGGGTTTAGGGTTTAGGGGTTTATGGGTTTAGGGTTTAGTGTCTAGGGTTTAGGGTTCAGGGTTGAGGGTTTAGGGCTTTTGGGTTCAGAGTTTGGGGTGTAGGGGTTCACGTTGTTTTGGTCAAGGCTTTGATAGTTTGAGCTTGGGTCTGAGGGTTCTATGAGTCTAGAGGGGAAGGGATTTTTAAGTGATACAGCGTGTGCTTCGGTGGCTCATGGTAAGCTTATGCAATTGTTTTCTTCGTCCTTGATAAAGCAAATCCTGTCTGTCTGATCCCCAGGAGTGCAACGTGGTGGCAGGCCGGGGCATTCAAAACTGGGGGGGCTCCGACGGTCTTGTTGGGGGGGTGCCGCCTTACAAAAGGAACCGATAATAAAGAGTCCCTAACTTAGGAAACTACCCACGAGAATCCCGACGACTTGTGTTGATATGCCAGGCAGCCAGTGGCGAGAATATCTCGAGGCGCCAAAGAGGGTCGACATGGCTCCTCACAGGTTCCCCCCTACATTGTGGTTGTTTGTGTGTATATATATATACATATATATATATATATACATCTATATATATACATATATATATATACTAATGAGAATACTGAAGATATTAAGTTCGAATTATCAATGACCAAAAACAAACTATGGGTTTTGGCTGTCCGTGATTGATGCTAAAGACGCTGGCTCAGGGATTGCAGACATTGAGAATCAATGGCCTTAGGTTGCTGTGCCTGAGCAGCTTAAACTTATCTAGAAATCTCGTATATGGCTCTCAGCCCTACAAACCCTGTAAACCCTACAATTAAACCCTAAAGCCCTTAAGCCCGGCAAGCCCTACAAACCCTGTAAGCCCCATAAACCGTGTAAACCCTATAAACCCTCAACCCGAAACCCTAACATCCCTACAATCCCTAAACCCTATAAACCCCAAACCTTATAAGCCCTAAAAGCCTTAAACTACAAAGAATCCTGAACCCTCAAAACCCTAAACCCGAAAAGCCCTCCAAACCTTAGACCCCAAAATGCCAGAACTCCATGACACCCTTCCAACCCTACAAATCTCCAAAAGCCCATAAACCCCAAAATCCCTACAGACCCTAAAGCCTACAAACCCGAAGAAACCCCAAGCCCTAAAACCCCTCTAAGACCTTCAGCCCTCAGAAGCAGGAGTGGCACCTTTCCTGTGGTCAGAGTGACGAGAACTGGATGGCTTTGCGATGCACTCCATGATGTTTAGGGTTTAGGGTTTAGGGTTTAGGGTTTAGGGTTTAGGGTTCGCAGCTGTGTATGGGTGGACTTCCGCACCCCACCGCCGGATTCAACGGCTCCCATGGCGACGCTGACGAAGCGCCTTGTCGCCATGGAGCGCAGCGCTTGGCAGCTCCACCGGGCGTCTCACTACCCAGGATTAGGGTTTTTGACGCAGCAAATTGGGCGAGATCAGCCTTGGAAGGCTTTTTTCGAGATCCTGGCAGGCTACGGGCCCCGTCATCGCCGCCCTGTCGAGTTTAGGGTTCAGGGTTCAGGGTCCAGGTTTTAGGGCCATCTCTGTCGCCGGGTCGCTTGGAATCGAGCCGCCTGAGCTGGTTTCGCTGGCTTGTCCGTCGATGCGCAGCCCTACAACCCCTCAAAGCCTGAAAGGCCCATAAACCCTTGGTAGCCCAGTGGTATCCTTTTCCCAACTTTTGGTGCAAGGCTCCCTGATAAAGTAGCCAACCCAGAAACAGGGTGCCTTTATAGTGTAATATGCTTAATGGGCTGCCAAGAACCGTAAAGACGCTAACCTTGCAAAACCTTAAGTCTTAAAGGTTCCATAGGTTCCTCATAGACTTTACAACCCTAGAAACCCCAAAGAAAAGTTATAAGATCCCTATGACCCCTACACCCCCCCCCCAAAAAAAAAAAAAAAAACATCCCACGGAAAACCCGACATGCCCAATAAAAAGCCCAAAGCGCACTCTACACCCCAACCCCTAAGAACCCTCAAACCCTAAACCCTAAACCCTCAACCCTATTTAACTATAAGCCCTGAAAATCCTAAAGCCGATAAACCCTAAAATCCCTAAGGGCAAAGCGTTAAGCCCCCAAAGCTTCAAAAGCCCTAAAGCCAACAATCACACAAGGCCTAAAATCCGTACAAACCCGAAACAAATAAGAACATACAAGCCCTTCAAAAGAGAACTGCCACTTAAAATCCCTAACGAAGAAAACAAGCACCTAAACCCGCACGATCCCTAAACCCACCCTAAACCGTAAACCCTAAACCCTAAACCCTAAACCCTAAACCCCAAACCCTAAACCCCAATTCCTAAAACCCCTTGGAGTCCAGGTTTGCAGGTTTCAGGGTTGCTGGCCCGATAAATGGTAGCAAGAGCTCGGAAGTTTGAGGAGTCCTTGTCGTGTAGGATTTGGGGGTTTAGGGTTTAGGGTTTAGGGTTTAGGGTTTAGGGGTTGGGGTTTGGGGTTTAGGGTTTAAGAGTTTAGGGTTTGCGATTTAGGGTAGAAACCTCTCACAAACGAAAAGCCCCCAATAAAGTTGACACCCAAAATAGGGACCCTATAAGTCACACCCCCTCCACATAGGTCCTAACCCTAAACCCTAAACCCTCAACCCTAAACCCTAAACCCTAAACCGCAATATGTCGTCAGGGCATCCGCTTTGGTCGGATTGGAGCGCAGTCAGCCAAAAGGCGAGGCGTCACATCATGGGTAAGCCCATGCATTCAGAGCTTCCGGGTGATATTTAGGGTTTAGGGTTTAGGGTTTAGGGTTTAGGGTTTAGGGCCACGCAGTTCTCGCAGGGACTTGCGTGGTGTCCGGAGCTGTTGAGTGTCGACTCTGCGCTTGAATCTGCATCCGGTGAGGCGTGAGCCCAATCGGGCCTTGGGAAACGCTTCCAAGGACTGATTGGGTGATGCTGTAGTTCAGGGTGCTTACCAAGTGTGTGGGTTTCTGTAGCTTTTCGGTTTTGCGACCCATACTCTCGGAGCCTGAAGTGGATGTTGAGATCGTATGCACCTTATTAGTTCAGAAATGTCATCGATGGGCGTGGACTAGGATGTCAGGCGCGGTAATACGATGCCTCAACGTGGCCGGTGTTCGAAGCCCTCCCGGAAAGCATTCTGCAATCCCAGGGGTGTACCGGTGTATCGGTGGTCCAGGGGGTGGCCTTGAGAGAGCACGGGGCTTTCTCCTGCATGTGGTTTTCCCTGTGCCGTTTCTCACCTGTACGTATGCGTATTCATGCCCAGACGTCCAGGATGCGAGATCTTCCCAGAACTTGCATCCGATTCATCATATGCCCTGTTGCACAGCAGGGAGAGGGTCAAGCTTGGAGGCGGTACGGGATGGTGATGGGCCAGTAAGGTACCTCGAGCCCAGCCGTGGATGACATTGGGAAAGCTGCAGCCTTTGCGCTCTTGGCTGGGGCCCCTCAAGCACATGCCCATGCCTTTCCACCGCATCGAAGTAGTAGCCCTCAACATCTAGATATCTGTAGCTGACTCCTAAGCTTACCGTCCTCTAGGAAGAATTTTGCCAGAACCCTGTTAGAGAAGTGCTGGATGCTATGCTTCCGACTTCGCCAATCGAGTCTGAGATCGGCAAGATCTGCAACAAGGCGCGGGACATGGGCATCCTAGCCCACCCCTCTACCTTACAGGATCTCTACAGGCACAGCCTGCGCGAGCGCGAGGTGGAGGCCCTGTTGTGGCGGGAGCTCAATGCAGCCACCTCGCCCCACGAGGCCATGGCAGCAGAGGAAAGATGCAGGGCGCGCTGCAATGAGGCTTCCACTACTCTGCTGCTGGATTTGCTGGAAAAGCAAGGCGACTTGTGCGCTACAGGGCAGCCAAGCACCTTTGTCATAGTTGGGTAACATTTTACATCTTTAATGGTATACTTAAATCTAATAAGGAATATACATTTTTAAATCTTTAATACTATCCCAACCATGAACTAGGCACCCTAGTCCTTGGACTACATCTTGTGGCGAAGCTGTGGCTTGGGCCCAAGGAGGTTGCCGACATGCTGGCTTGCGGCATCGGCTTCTTGTTCATCGCTGAGACTATATCCCCCTTGGGAATCATTCTTAAATTTTTGGTTTAGACAAAACCCAAGAGGATATTTAAAACATATTCTGCTTATTATTAAGGTTCTAAGGGGAGTATAGGAGAGTTGGGCCACCTCGCCGGCATGGCGGGAGATGAGCCTGGAAAGCGTGGAGAGAGTCCTCTCGGGCACAGCTTGCCCGGCGCTGCGCGGACTCCTCGGCAAGCAGGTCACCGCCATCTCCGCCCCTCAGTGGCTCCCCGAAGTGCCCGAGTTCACCTCCCTGCACGAAGTGCACCTCGGAGAGATGCCTGGGGAGAGCCTGCCTCAAGTCCTCGAGCTCCCGAAGCTGAAGGTGCTGAACGTGAGCAAGGTGGCCGGCTCTGTCCCAGATGGCCTGCAAGCCCCGAACTTGGAGATCCTATATCCCCCTTGGGAACTACTTTTCTCTTATTTCTGTTTATGTAAACCCCAAGGGGATATCAAACATACTTGTTTTGTTAAGGTTCTAGGGGGAGTAGAGGATCCTGATGGCGCCGGGGAGGCTCACCTCATCCCTGGCTTGCCCCAACCTGCAGAAGCTCCTCATCCGAAGCTTGGTAGCCCGGTGGTACACCCTTTTTCCCTTTTTGGGTTTAGGGTTTAGGGGTTAGGGTTTAGGGTTTAGGGTTTAGGGTTTAGGGTTTAGGGTTTAGGGTTTAGGGTTTAGGGGGTTCAAGGCTCCCTTGTAAAGTAACCAACCCCAAACAAGGATTCCCTTTCTTGGGGGGGTTCAAGGTTCCTCTAAAGTTCTAAAGTAGGAAACCCCAAACAAGGGGTGTCCTTATTGGAAGATTTTTAGGGGGTTCAAGGTTCCCTTATCAAATAAGCAACCCCCAAAAGGGGTGTGCCCTTCTTCAAATAGGGTTACTGGGCTACCAAGGAATAGATGGCGATGCGGACGCAGGAGACCTAGCGCCGGCCCTGCTGTCGAGTTCACTGGTGGCCCTTGATATCTTGGACCTGAACCGCAAGCTCACGTTGCGAAACTTGGTAGCTGAGTAAGTACACTACACTTTACTACTTTACGAATACACTTTTTGGGATATACCACAATCCCCTATAGAACTGAAGGTGTACAGGTTTTTTGGGGCCTTAGGAACTGAGCAACTCAGGAAGTTTATTCACGGCCATCCGGGATTCAGGGCCAGCGTACCTGCAACGCTTCGTGTACCTTCGCCCGCCCGCGCGCAACGGCCACGATCTGTTTGAAGGCACCCTGCTTGCCTTTCGATCCTCGGTGCCCCTGCTACTCGGTCGGCCCTTGGGATTTGTATCTATTTTTCCCTTCTTGGGTTTAAGAGGAGACAAAACTCAGGAGTATCTTTCAGAGGGTTTAAGCCCTAATACCCGAAACCCTAAACCCTTAACCCTTAAATCTAAACCCTAAATCACCCTAAACCCTAACCCTAGTTCCTATACCCTAAAGCCCCTTGAAGGGCCGTCCCAGGCACTGCCTGAAGTTTGCCTGTCTGAGCCTCAACGAGAACCCGAGCCGCCGGAATATCTTGGAGGCCCAACTTCTGGCGCTCCCTTGCAGCCCACTGGTCCCCCTTTTAGTTTTTTAGGGTTTGAGGTTTAGGGTTTAGGGTTAGGGTTTAGGGTTTAGGGTTTGGGGTTTGGGGTTTAGGGTTTAGGGTTTAGGGTCATAGGGTCATAGGGTTATAGGGTTATAGGGTTATAGGGTTATAGGGTTATAGAGTTATAGGGTTATAGGGTTATAGTTATAGGGTTATAGGGTCTAGGGTTTAGGGCTTAGGGTGTAGGGTTCAGGGTTTAGGGTTTAGGGTTTAGGGTTTAGGGGTACGATCAGATGGTTACGGAGCTACCAAGGCTCCACCAGAGGGCGCCGGAGCTGAAACTTTGTCTGCCCGACTGGCCCGGAGAGGCGCTAAAGGTTGCTGGCCTCTACGGGAGTGATCTTCGCACCTTGGCCTGGGAGATTAGGGTTTAGGGTTTGGGGTTTAGAGTTTAGGGTTTAGGGTTTATAGGGTTTAGGGTTTAGGGTTTAGGGTTAGGGTTTGGGGTTTAGGGTTTTGGGGGCAATCCCTTATATACTAACAGTCCTAAAAAAGGATTAATCTAGGGGGTACTAGAATCCCTTTTACGGACTGTGAGAAAAAGGTGGAGCATCCTAAGTAGGGCCTTACAATGCCTTAAGGAACTTAGCATCTCAGAAGGTGGTGTCTTCAAGCTTCTATTTTCAGGTAAAGAAAGATATCTTGACGTGTGCAGGGGGAGCTCAGAGCCTTGATGTTGCTTGCGCCCAAGGTCGCGAGAACTGTGAATACCATAAGGGGGTTTCCCACCTGGCGGGGGCCCTTAATACAAACCCCCCCAAGTAGGAGGATTCCGTTTCGATAAGGACCCCAAGATGGTACCCCAGCCGTTTTTCGGAAACCCCCATGAGTCTGCAAGTATAGTTAGCCCTGTCTCCCCTAAACGCAAAAGCCTAAACCCTAAACCCTAAACCTGGCTCTGCACCTAGCAAGTGAGGAACCTGGTCGTGGTCGCTGAAGCTTTTGCACCCGAGTCCGATCTTCGAGGATCTCGTGTATCAGCGGCTACCAGCCTTCACGGAGCAATTCCGGGGCCCAACAACCGGCTTCAAGTTTGCCACATGCTCTCACCCTAAACCCTAAACCCTAAACCCTAAACCCTAAACCCTAAACCCCCAAGCCATAGCCAGAGTCCGCCCGACTGAGCTGAGGGTGCACAGGGCCTGCAGTTGACAAAAGAGACGGCCGCGGGAAGCGGAACTTGAGACATCTTGGTTTAGGGTTGAGGGTTTCCGGTTTAGGGTTTATAGGGATTATATAATTAAGGAGTCGGGTTTAGTGTTTAGGGTTTAAGGACACGTGCACACGTAGGTACATAGACAGACAGACAGATACACACACACACACAAACTCAAACGCACAGACATACACTGCATGGTGCATGCGTACATACATGCATGCATGCGTGTATACGCATACATGTAGATGTACAGCAAGAAAGGTGAGACTGACGGTGCCTTGGTGTTTACCAGTCATGCATGCAGGGCGTTTTTGGCGGTAGGAAAGAGCGGCAGAGGATGGCTTTCATTCAGTGCCGTATTTGTTGCTCAAGGCGGTTTAGCGTTTGGGTGTCAGGGTTCCGCCAAGTTGGAGCCAGTTTTTAACCAGGAGAAGAAGATGACACAGCTGGAGGGATTTGCCTCGGGCGCATCAGCGGATGTGTTCCGCTAGCCTTGTACCTGATCAGATCGGAATTCATAGCTCTTTGCACGATGCCTATATCTATGGTGGACTGAGCATGCATGCCACATCCCGAACTTGTTCGTGGCGAAGCCACGGCGATCGGCAGTCAGCTACTGAATCTGTGTCAGGGTTTCGGGTTAGGGTTTGTTAGGGTTTAGGATCCCATATGGGGTTGGGTGTATGGCGCAAGGTCTCTAAGCCCCTAAAAACTCCTTTAGCGCCCTGAACCCTAAACCCTAAACCCTTTAAACCCCCTAAACCACCTAAACCCACTCAACCCCCTATATAAGCCCCCGAAGCCCCCCAAGCCTGCCAAGCCCCCTAGCCCCTCAAGCTCCTTAAGCACCCGAAACCACACCCTTAAATGGCAACTGTGCGGGAATGCAGGAGCCGAGCTGCGAACGCCATGCTGATCTGGAACGGCAGAGGCCTTCGCTCTTCCAGGTTTAGGGTTTAGGGTTTAGGGTTGGGGGTTGGGGGTTTGGGGTTTGGGGTTTGGGGTTTGGGGTCTATAGGATTGTTTTCGGCTTCAGGGTGGATCATGCTTTGAAACGGGACTCCAAGTCATTCCAGGTTTCGGTCCTGGGTATGGACGATGCGCCTGACAGCTCAACCCTGAACCGGAGTTCCGCAGCCCCGAAAAAAACAGCCCGCCCTGGCTCTTTCGGGTTTAGGGTTTACAGGGTTTGTAGGGTTGATGGAGGGTTCTTGTTCTACAGGGTTCAGATAGTTCAAGTAAGGTTTGTATAGGTTCATATTCGGGTTTATAGGTTTATATTAGGATTTATAGGTTTATATTAGGGTTTATAGGTTTATATTAGGATTTATAGGTTTATATTAGGGTTTATAGGTTTATATTAGGGCTTATATTAGGGTTGATAGGTTTCTACTAGGGTTATGTAGGGTTGATAGGGAGGAAAAAATGGCTCTGAGTTTGTCCCTTGGCAGGAGCCGCATCGACAGCGGCAAGGTGGAGGACTGCCCGGACGCGCACGCGCACCTTGGGCCAAATGATCAAAACCCTAAGGCCCTAACTAGGATGCCCAGTAGTGCCCTTATTCCCTTGTTTTTGGGGGTTAGGTTCCCCTATAAACCCCTTTAAGCAAAAAAGGGTACCCTTTTTAATCCTGGGTTACTCAGCATCCTAGCTAAACTATGTCACCCTCACAGCCCCAAAAACCCTAAAACCCTACAACCCTAGGCCCTAAAACCCGAAAACCTCCAAACCATAGACAGACCATAGAGCCCTGGAACCCTAGAACGCTAAAACCTTTTTGCCGAGAACCCTAGATTCCCTAGAACCCTAAAATCCCATCACCCTAAAACCTACAGAGCCCCGAGGCCCGTCCACCCTAGAACCCTTACAGCCCTGAAACCCTAGAACCCTGAAACCCTAAAGCCCTAAAACCCTAAAGCCCTCAAACCCTGGAACCCTTACAGCCCTGAAACCCTAGAACCCTGAAACCCTAAAGCCCTAAAACCCTAAAGCCCTCAAACCCTGGAACCCTGAAACCCTCGAACACCCCTAAACCCTAAACCCTAAACCCTAAACCCTAAACCCTAAACCCTAAACCCTAAACCCTAAACCCTAAAACCCTAAAACCCTAAAACCCTAAACCCTGAAACCCTAAAGCCCTAAAACCGGTTTTGGGGCTTTAGATCGCAGGTAGGTCCAGGTTGGCAAACGCTTCCAATCGACTCTGCAGCTTTGTGACGTAACGTCTTGGCGGTTGGCTCTTGGGATTTGGCTCCTTTGGGGCGCCTCGAGTTGTTGGTCTTCTTTATTTAGGGTTTAGAACTGTCGAGGGTTTAGGGTTTAAGGGTTAAGGGTTTAGGGTTTAGGGTTTGGGTTTAGGGTTTAGGGCCTATGAGGTTAGGGTTTAGAGTACAGGGATGTTGCTTTTGTTGCGTGCTTGCACGTGGGTTTGTGGTATATCGAGAGAGAGTCCGCGTGCTGTCTGACAGGTTCAGGAGCGTGCACTCGAGAGTCTGCAAGTTGCATGATAGTGAGGCCGTGAATAAGCTGTGTCCTTTGAGGCATCTGACGAGTTGCGCACCGAGTAAAGTGGCCACGCAATCAAGCGAACCAAAAACCATAGCTACCACAAAAACACCCTAAACCCTAAACCCTAAACCCTAAACCCTAAACCCTAAACCCTAAACCCTAAACCCTAGACAAAAAACACCGTAGCTACCACCAAGAACCCGAGATGCCTGAAATCGTGCGTTGTGCTTGCCCAGGGCTCACCTCCTGCGCCAGGGCAACATCCAGGTGGGGCGGATGTTCGCAAAGCTCTTGGGTCAAGTCCTTGGGTGTCAAAGGCCTTAACATGCCATCATCTAGGCCCTGAAGGAATTGCAGTCCTCCTGATCTGGTTCAAGAGCAGGCTGGTTTAGAGTTTCGACCCCAAACCCTCAGCCGCAGGGGTGTTCAAGTGCCAACCTAAGGCATGAGGGTCTTGAGACAGACTTCCTCCCCTCCATGGTCATGTCTCGGTGCTGTCGCTCTTTCGCGGGGTTGATGAACAATTCAATCATCGTCCCTTGTCGGGTACCCTAAAGGATAGGCCCAGAGCTATAGTAACGTCTTGCAGGTTCCCAAGAAGGGGCCCCTGTTTAGGGAACCTGCCATATGGCCAAGGCCCCTACCTACCGCCCCAGCATGCTTGAAGGCAAGGCTCACTTCGTCACGTGAACCACTGTTCGCAAGATGGATTGGGGATTACCCTACAAGCCCAAGACCCTGCAAGCCCCGAACCCTCCCAAAACCCTGCAAAAGAAAACACAATGGGCCCAATCCCACCCTAAACCCTTTAAAGCAAAGCCGACAGTTGCATAACCCCGTAGCCCTTTCAACCCTCCCAAACAAGAAAACAAACGCAAACAGAACGCAGGCATTGGAGCGATGGGGGGGACTCCGCTACGCCCGGCCCCACGTGCAAAGTCGGGGCACCCGGGGGCGAACCTCTGGATTGGGAGCTTAGGGTTTGTAGGGCCTGGGGCTTAGCAGGGTTTAGCATGCGGAGTTGGGGGTTTTAAGGCGTATTTCAGCTCAAGCAGGGCTTATAGGGTTTAAGGCCACCATGAGGCCTAGAAGCCTCAACCCGCGGTCGCCCTAAACAGTTTAGCCGGAAACCGACTTAGTCCCCATCATTGAGCCCCGTACCCAACCCCACCTCTCCCCACAGAATTGTTCAGGTCCCTAAAGCCCTTATTGCTTAAGTGCGCATACTTACCCCAAAATTGGATAAAGGAATAAGGAGCTAAGAGAGCCCGGCAAAGCCCAAACTCTCCGAAGTTCGACCAGGCCAAGGTCTCTTCCGAGCAGTGCGCTCGGGGCAGCATGGACTGCTCAGCTGGCTCCTGGAAGAGTTGCAAGGCCCCAGATGTTAAGGTTCGTTGTTAGGTTTTTTGGGGGCTGCATTCTTTTTGGTTTAGCAATGTAGGGTTTCGGGTTCAGGGTGTTAAAGTCTCTTTTTTTTTTTTTCGCATTTTTTGGGTTAAGGGCTTCAGGATTTAGGATTTAGGGCTATGAGGCCCCCAAACGGGTTTTAAGGGGTTCTTTGGGGGGCTCCAGATGACCGAAACAAAGTTTGCATTATTGTTTCTGTCAGGCTTCGGAACCACAAAGTAGGTTTTATTTGTGTACTTGGAGTCTTGGAGATTTCTGGGCTTCTCTATGGCGTCCGTGGAACACGGAATATGATCTGTGGCCACGCCCTGTTCTAGAAATCCAGCATCCAGAGACTGCAGCATTCATGATCACGTGGCGAAGTAGTATGTAGACTAGTGTCCCTACGTCGCTGATCATGGCTGCAAACGAGAGACATGGAGCCTTGTTTTCTTTTCAAACCTCACTCAGACTCCATTAAATTGGAAGCCCCTTCAGCACGACATGGCTCCTGAAGCCAACGATTCTCCCTACTTGTAAGTCCCAAACCCTAAACCCTAAACCCCAATTTCCCGGCAGGCATCTACCTGTCCAACGAAGCGGTGCAATGGCGAGAGAAGGCGCCGCCCCCTCCCCATCCGCTTCCAAAGAGGTTTGAGCTTTGAAGGCGGAACCTCCCACCTTGGAATGTTCCCCCTTAAACTATAGGCTTTGGGTTTAGGGTTTGGGATGTTCCCCTTATACTAACAATCCTAAATACGGACTATAATGGGGGGGGTACTAGAATCCCTATTAAGGACTGTCAGTATAAGGGCGAACATCCCAAGCGAAACCCAAACACTTGGCAGAAGAGAGCCCATCCCCAAAAAGAAGCTGGGGGTTCCTTCATAGGATTGTGTCAGGGTTTGTAGGGTTGATAGGATTTGGTTTCAGCTCATTGGGTTTCTAGGGCTTACTTCAGAGTTTAGGGTTCAGGTTTCAGCTCATGGGTTTCTATTTAGGGTTTTAGTTCAGAGTTTAGGGCTCAGACCTCAGACTCAGACAGGGCGGAGCACGCCCAACTCTCCTTCACGCGGCTGCGGAGGCCCCATGCCCATGATGTCTGCTTCGCAGGGTTGCCGAGCAGTCTTTCCGTAGAAACCATGCGACAGGTCACACCCAACAAGCGCCAACCCAGCACGAATGAGTTGTCCGACTCGTCCTTTCTTTGTGTCGTGGGAGTGGGGTTGGTGGGCTTGACTTGAGAGTGTGGAAGCGATTGCAGATTTTCAGGTGCATCAGTACGCGCAGCAAGTGACAGGCTGTACGCATTCACCGCCTCAGCGAAAGCATTCTTATCAAGATAGCCTTTTGACCGGACAGTTTCTGAGTTCCCCTTCTGTGTCATCGAGTTGGAACATTAGAACTCAGGCCATTTGTCTCAGGGTCATTGCATTGTCTTTTCGAGTTTCATGGTTTTTGATTCACCGCTGCGAAACTCGCCGGCTTGCAGAGTCGTTTCGGCTCCCAGCGAAAACAGAACACAGCATCTGTTCTGCCAGTATGCAGCGCCAAGGTACGTTGAGAACTGCCTTGTAAGCCACATCCACACCCCAAAGCCCCGTGCCCAACACAAGAGATCGTCAGATGGCTTGAGAGCAAGACCTGCAGCCATCGGCAGCCGTCACCAGCTAGAAGATGTCTTTCCACCATTCTCTCGTCCGCGAAAGACTTGGAAGCCTGTCCCCCACAAAAAAGAAGTGTAACAGAAGACGGACGCCCCATTCAAGCTTTGAAGCCATCCTTGAAGCAAACTTACCGCGTGCCAACCCGAGCCATCTGACGGCGCCTTTCCGGCTTAGAGGCCAGGTGAGCTGAGGCGATGCTGTGGCTCGAGTGCCTTGGCCTTGCTTGGAAATCCCCACCTCGGGGCTGCAGCCTCGACTTGTCTAGTTGCTTCAAGGTTCAGGGTTTAAGGCTTGGGCCTCAGGGCGGAGCAAGATAGGACCGGGATGAATACTAACAAAATTGGTGCCGAGTATGCACGCTAGACACGGGGTAATGTTGTTTTTTTGGTATGGCGTGGATACCATCTCGCATTGCATCGAACTGGCACGGGAGCCTTAAACCCCCACACAAGAACTGAAGTCGGAATTGAAGCTTGAACTATAAACCCTGAAAGTCTGAATTCGTTAAGCCCATCCCAACGCCCCATTCGTTCCCCACAGGGTCCATGTGCTTATACCCTAAACCCTAAACCCTTGTGAAATCCCTATAGAGTGTCCTCAAGAGGTTTTATATAAATATAAATATAAATATATATATATATGTATATATATATAGCATCTGGGGCCCAAGTGCTGTAGGGAGTTCCCCACCAACGTGAGCTTGCGAACTCAAACCCTCGACTGCTCTTCATCACCTGAGGATGGCCCTCTAAGTCATCGGCTAGGGTTTAGGGTTTAGGTTTAGGGTTTAGGGTTTAGGGTTCAGGGTTCAGGGTTCAGGGTTTAGGGTGTAGGGTTTACTCCTGAAACGAACCCCGGATGCCCAGGCTCCTCGGCCTGTACTCCTGCCTGCGGCTCTCGCGATGTGCGCTCGAACTCCTAACCTGCCTCCTGGCGCCACTTGCCTGGCAATGAACCCATCGACTGCCTCATCTTAGTAGCTGAATCAGTACACTTTATACTTGTTGGAACTGAAAGTGTACACTTCTTGGGGGGCTTGTGAACGTTTTCGGGAATGAGGGTTTCAGGGTCGAGGATCAAGAAGGCGAGATGCGGAACCCTTGGCGAAGAGAACAACGAACATATGGAACATGATCAGAGAGTCAGGCCGAAAAATGTATATGCGGCATATATGCGTGTGTCATTCTGTTGCGACACGCGTTGGCATGCAATAAATGTGTCGAGCGAGGCAGTTACAGCGTTTGAGCTTTCGTATCCTTTGACTGGCAGTGTGATTCTTGGGGTTCTTCCTTAGGCTTTGCCACGAACTCAGGTGGCTCTCCCAGAGGGGGCGAAGACGGAAGGCCAGAAACCTCTCAGATACTTTGCATCGTCGTGTTCTGACTTTCAATGAGCGCCCTCACAAGCTTCGTGAACAACACCACCACTGCCGCCACCACATGTTTTTGTTTTCCCTGATGGGCAATGCCCGCACACACGATTCTCAGTGGCACTTTCTAGGAAGTTGCACTTTCCTCACACTGGGACTTGAGCTTTCCTTCTCGCCATGAAGGCTGCGAAGGCCAAGCTTTCCAAGTCGGCACCAGCCGGCGTCTCCAGTGCTGTAGGTGGGGCCGGTTGAGTTGAGTGTTATATATAGCTACTCTTGGGACATCATGGGACCATGCTGAAGTGCAGTTGCAAGCTTACTATCCTGCGACAGAGCTGTTTGCGGATCGAGTGGAGGTCATCATTATTGAATAGGCTGCTCTGCGTCGTTCCTCAGATGGTGGGAGTGCTGACGACGTCCCATGAGGCGCAGTCAATGACGGTTGGTCTGGCTAGCTTTGCCCTACCGAACATATAGGCCTTGAAGCTGTAAGGATCGATGCTATGTAATCCATGAATCGTGATTCTAGATCAGTGTTGCCATCAACAGCCTTGTCTGCGCCCCGCTGATTGCCCTGTTTTACAGGTCACATGGCGCTTGGAAGCAGCCGACTTCGTGGATGTGGACCAGGGAAAGCACATCCAGAGTGAGATCGGCCCGCTAAATGATCGCCTGCGTTTCCGGTTCTATCCGTGCGGGGAGGAAGGGGCACCAGAGGGCAAGTGCAGCTTCTTCATCGGCCTGCTGAAATTGCGGACTTGGGTGGATGTGGTGTGCCACGTTGTCGTGGGCACAAGCGAACCAATATCGCTTGACTTGACGCTGGCCTCAGAGAAGGGATGGGCGAGCGTTGGGCGTGCCGACTTCGGCCCCACGCCCGACCTGACACGACCACTCGTAATTCGCATCACGTTTACAGAGAAACACATCTTACAGGAGAAGGTCCAGCGCCATGAGATGATCGGCCGCAACTTCCATGAGGCCATGCTCCATGAGGGGAGGCGCGCGGGAGCCGCCGTCAAGATCCAGAGCCTTTCACGGGGTATTGCCTGCCGTCAGCTTGCGAAGGCCAAACGGGCCGAGCAGGCGCGGAAGCGCCGCCAAGCGAGGGAGTGGAATGCTTGCTTGCGCCTGCAGGTTGCCTGGCGCTTGTACAAGAAGCGCCTGCAGAGGCGCTGGCAACGCCAAGTGAGCATGGCCCAGTGCAGCCCCTACGATGCAATCTTGGCTTTCGACTCACTGGCACAGTTCCTGAAAACGGGCGAGATCCAGTTCTTGCAGCAGGCGGAGTCGCAGTTTGAAGTGGCCCGCGCCTCCAGATTTCGCATTGTGGCTGTCGTCGGCCTGTTTGACAAAGGCAAGACGTGGCTGACCAACAAGCTATTCGGCGTGAACCTCCCATCCGGAAAGTTGCACACCACCAAGGGCCTGAGCTTCCTGTGGATCGAGGAGCGGAGGATGTTGATCTTGGACTCCGCGGGCGTGCAGTCCACGGTGTCCTACCGCGCGCAAGCCGTGGATGCCATCCTGGACGCCCAGACGACGGAGTCCCTTATGTTCGAGATGATCTCGCGCATCGCCCACCACATGGTGTTTGTGGTGAACGACCTGACGTGGTTTGAGCAGAAGTACGTGGCGATGCTTCATCAGAAGTATGTGCAAGGAGGCCAGCAGAAGGAGCTGGTTGTGGTGCACAACCTGCGGAACACCACAAACGTGGAGGAGGCCTGCAGGCTCTTCAAGCGCCAGGTGACGCGGTGCTACGATGGCGAGCAGTCTCACCTCGGCGACCTGATCTTCATCCAGGACGCCGGGCCGGGCGCCCCTCCCTTGCATCACATCGGCCTTTGCAACGAGTCCTCCAAGGCCGGGGATAAGTTCAACGAGAGGAACCGGCAGCACCTACTGCAGAGCTTGGAGCACCGGAACAGCCTGGGTTCAGAGCTGGTTCTCACGGACGTGCTGAAAGCCGAGCTGTCTCAGCTCCTGCCACGCTTCGTCAACATCGAGGCCAAGAGCCCCGAGAGCGCCGTCTGCGCCTCCGACCAGGCGATCTCCGTGGAGTTCGGCGATGCGCAGAACGGTGCGGTGGAGAACGAGGGTGCGGCGGCTGAGTACACTTGCGTGGGGTCCTTGTGCCTGAAGCTGTCGGAGGAGGGGGCCCGCGTGGCCATGAAGACCCGCGGGGTCATTTCGCCACTGGGCGAAATCATTGCCCACGATGTCAGCTTCGATCCCATCGTGAACGTCTTCGACCGAGCCACCGAAGGCGGCACTCTGCGCCAGATCCGCATCGAGTGCCCCGGCGTGACGGAGGACGACGTGGAGTGGGAGGAGCTCCCCAACGGCGTCAAGATCAGCATCGACAAGAAGCGGCCGATCAACGAGCATGCTGTGCATCCTGTTGAGCCCATTCGCCAGCACCACGGAGTTTGGGAGCGCGAGTTCGACTTCGACCATTCCGACGGCCGCTTCGAGTTCTGCCCCGACGAGTTCGACCTAGAGAATGGAGTGCTGACGGTGACGCTGAAGAAATCCGCGCAGCCTCGCCGGGGCAAGTTGGGGCGAGCCCGCGAGGGCACGAGCATCCCGACGAAGTGCGACCCGGACGCCAAGGCTCCGTCGCCGGCCCGCTCCGTGTGCAGCTCGTTCGCCGTGGTGTGATCCGCGCCCAGCTGGCAGCATGACGTCTGCGGGCTCAGGATGACAACAGAATCCTGATTCCGGCCAGGACTGGCCTGAATCCGACAGCCGGGCAGAGTTGTAGTACGATTGGCCCCGCTGCTTTGATCTTTCCAATGACATACACTGACACAGTGACTCAACAGCAGTCGCTATGCACGTTTACTATAGTCTACGGCGTGTCGTGAATCGACATGGGGCAACGTCATGAAGAATGGCAAGGCAACTGCATGGAAAAAAATTCTGCATGCTTGCATGAATCAACCCTCCAAGCTCCAGAGCTCAAGGATTCCAGACCCCTCGTTCCCTTCAGCTCTGCCTTTAAACCCTAAAACTTAATTTATAAAACAGTTTATTGGCAAATATGAGCTGAATGCTGCAGGCGCCGCGCCCCCCGCGAACAGCGAGCCCAGCCACAGCCCGCAGCTGTCCCTCCACGCCACTCTGCCTGTAATGTGGTATCCTGATTAGTGTGAGGGCCCCCCCCCCCCCCCCCCCCCCCCCCCCCCCCCAAACTAAATCCACCCCCGTAATAGTGTTAAAAAAAGGGACCCCCCCAAACTAATTTTCGGCCCCGGGCCCCCCCCCCACCGGCTCCTCTTCATTTCCTCTCCGCTCCTCTTCCCTCTCCTCTTCCTCTCCTCTTCCTTTCCCTCTCCTCTTACATAATTAAGCTCAGGTAAGCTCAGATGTGAGCTCAGCTCAGGTAAGCTCAGGAAAGCTCAGGTAAGCTCAGGTAAGCTCAGTACCCCCGACAACCTTGACATTATTGTGGGGGTGCAATTTTTTTTTTTAAATGGGGTTCGGGGCAGAACGTGGACTACCCCCTTCAAAATTTGATGGCTAGGCCTCCTCAGATAAGCGAAGTCATAAGGAATCCTTGTTTTCCGGCCTGGTCGTCGACCCTGAACCCGGGAAGCTTGAAGGCCCGCCCCCCCCCCCTCCCCCCGAAAACCTTGACATTATTGTGGGGGTGCAATTTTTTTTTTTAATGGGCTTCGGGGCAGCACGTGGACTACCCCCTTCAAAATTTGATGGCTAGGCCTCCTCAGATAAGCGAAGTCATAAGGAATCCTTGTTTTCCGGCCTGGTCGTAGACCCTGAACCCGGGAGGTTGGGGATGACAGCTCAGAACTCCGACTTGAAGCTGCTCTTCTTTTGCTCTTTTCTTTCATCATCTTCTTCTCTTTTTTTCTCTGTTCCGAAACCCATGCCCGAAAAACTTTACTTTATTGTGGGGGGGCAATCCAAGTTGGGTCTCCTGAATATTTTTTGGAAAACTTTTCATTATTGAGGGGGTCCAGACTAATCAGGATACGACATTATAGCCCCATTCATTGAATTTTGTGGGTTTAGGTTTAGGCCCGTTTAGGCGCATTTTGGGTAGCAGAGCTTTTTGTTGCACTATAGGGGGGCCGAGTTGACAGTTTCTAGTTGTGTGTTGAGCAACATGCGCGTTCACTCCGGCCCCTCAAAGTGCAAGCGCCAAACCTTCTTCGCCCTAAGCCTTGCGAACCCCAGCATCCCCAAACCACAAACTTGATAAACCCCCACATGACACCCTTCAAGTCCCCGATCGCCCCCCCACAGATGCCCTCAAGAAGCCCTAAACCCCAAACCCTAAACCCTATAAACCCTAAACCTTCAACCCTTCTACAAACCCTCCAATAGAGAGAGAACCCCCCCTCCAGGTCTGCCTGCTGAGCGGCCGGGGCCTGGACCTGCGCATGGCGGCCAGCGCAGGGCTGGCGGAACTGCGGTGGCGAGTTGAGGAGGACGTCATAGAGTGCGGTTTAGGGTTATAGGGTTTAGGGTTTAGGGTTCAGGGTTTGGGGTTTAGGGTTTAGGGTTTAGGGTTTAGGGTTTGGGTCTGGGGTTTAAGGCTTAGTGTTGAGTAAGAATCCGAATAATGGCAATACCAGTAAGAATCGTAACATAGTAATCGTAGTAGTCATAGTAGTAATGGCTGTAATGGTAGACGTTTCAGGCTTTAGATCAGTGTTTTTGTCATTTTTTGCGGTGAGGGCTTTAGGGAGTCTAGGGCTTTAGGGCTTTAGGGCTTCGGGGGAGACAGGGCCCAGCATTCCCAGCATAGGCTTTCGGGTTAAGCTCGGGCTCGGGTCTCTCAACCCCAACACATCAGTCCTTTAGGGTTTAGGGTTTAGGGTTTAGGGTTTAGGGTTTAGGGTTTAGGGTTTAGGGGTTTAGGGTTTAGGGTTTAGGGTTTAGGGCACCCCCTATATTCATCCTTATTAAGGACTGCTAATGGGAACAAACATCCCAACTTAATCCCAAGACCCTAAACCCTGTAAACCCTATAAACCCTGTAAACCCTATAAACCCTATAAACCCTATAAACCCTGTAAACCCTACAAACCCTATAAACCCTATAGACCCTATAGACCCTATAAACCCTATAAACCCTATAGACCCTATAAACCCTATAAACCCTATAGACCCTACAATCCCTATAAACCCTAAAAACCTTAAAAACCGACCCCATAAACCCTACAAACCCTACAAACCCTACAAACCCTATAAACCCTAAACCCTAAAAACCCTAAACACCCTAAACACCCTGAATACCCTAAAATCCCTAATACCCTAAAAACCCTAAACCCTAAAGCCTAAACCCTAAACTCAACCCTCCTTGCAGGAGCTGGGCACCCGCAGCGTCGACCTGATCAGCCCCAAAGGCGACATCCTCCGCGGCGATGGAACTCTCCAGGCCCCCACCCGAGTCAGTTTTTTTTATTTTATGGGGGGCGGGGGGGTTTAAGAAATGGCATTTTGGGGTGAACTTCTGTAGGAAACTTGGAATGTGAAGAGGCCTGAATGAGTTATAAGGTTCTTAAGCTCTTGAGGGAGGGCGGTTCAAGGGGTGTAGCAACCTTAGGGGGTCTTAGGGATCCTTAGGGAGCAGTGGGGAGTGTTGGGGAACATTGATTTACATACCCCCTTAACAACCCTACAAACATGAGGCCGAGAAGAGCAGCAGGTTTTTTGTCAACCCATAAACCCTAAACTCTATACCCTACACCCTAAACAATATGACAAGGAGGGGTACTTGTGTGAAGATCCCCGTGCGTCCCGGTCCTTTCCTAAATTTGGGTTTAAGTTCGGGGTTTAGGGGGTTTAGGATTTAGGGTTTATAAAGCTGCAAGTGTATTAAGTCTCAAGCGCAATTGGTTCATCCCAGCGTGCATTCATGTTGTGAGCCGTCGCTGCTCCCAGGCTTTTGGCCTGCAGGCGTCTGGGCCGCACCGGCCGCTGCTCTCTGGGCACTTTCAAAGTGCTGATCACTCCAACTCCTTTAACCAGTCTATCCTGAATCCCATGGACATTAAACCCCTGTGTGCATACTCAGTGTTAAATCCAGAAACCCCAAATCCGCACCCCGCAGAAGCTGTGAACTTTCACTTCTTGGTGGCGTCCCTGCGGGGTTGGGGTTTGGGGCTGACAATGTCAGGCCTCTAATAAGCACTGTCATTGTCCCTATATATACTTCCAAGCGTACCGAGGATGGCGACTTGCTGCAGCTTGCCCTGCACTGGCGTAAGGGCTTACGCCTGGGGGGTCTAAGGATTGCTTATTACAAGTGAGTAGCAGAGCGCAGCCAGAGTTAGAGGGATCTGAAGCTCAGGTTGCGTTGCGTCAGGTTTTGGGGGGAGGTCGATCAAGGTGTGGGTTCTGTTAGGGGTCTCTGTTACTGTGGCAGCACCAAAAAAGTGTCCGTAATTGTGGGGCACACCAGTCGTTAGGCATGGAAGGTCGGAATGACACTTTGGCATGCCCCAAGGTACGCGACGGTCCGGAACCGTCCCACCATGGTGACCAGCCGGCACTGCAACGCCCTGGTCTTGATTGAGCAGGATGGCACCGTGCAGGTGCCCCCTTTGCTTTTGTTTTGGGTGTCAGAGCTTTTCAGCAAGAAGGGTTGGTGACTCAGTGGTACTTTTTTCCTTTTTTTGTTCCAAGGTTCCCTTAAAAAAGTAGCCAACCCCCAAAAAATGGCCTGGCTACCAAGGCAGTGGTTGGTAGAGTTCATCTACGAATTGCCTAAGAACCCCCCCCCCCCCCCCCCGAAACAAGTTCTTCCTTATAAGGGTCATACAGGGATGTTTTTTTGTTTTTTTTTGGTTTTTTTTTGGGGGGGGGTTCTGAAGCAAGCAGTCATGCTTTGTAGCTGGAAGCGGTTTGGGAACGGAGTTTATAGTTGCGGAGTCAGAGCCTCCTCCCAACTCCATGGTCAGGAGTCTTCTGTCAAGCCAGACTCCTTAATAGCCCTAAACCCTTATAAACCCTGAACCCTATAAACCCGCAACCCCTAAACCCTTAAATCCCTAAACCCTAAGCCATGAAAGGCCTGGGGTGAGGCGCCGCCTGGCCAGATGCTGCTGAAGGCTATTCGGGGTAGGGTTAGGAATCTATCCGCGCTCAGGGGTGGCCTTTGTTCGGGTTTGGGGTGCGCGTAGCCTGAGCAGTAGGCTTCAGGCTTTAGGGTATCGAACTCTAAACCTTAAACCCTGAACCCTAAATAGGCGATGTAGGCCGCAGGGCTTGCGGTTTAGGGGAATTCTTGTTTCGGGGTTCGCAGCAGGCTACACATTTTCGTCGTAGTTTGCAGCCAAGAGCAGCCCCCTGCGCGCTTCATCGTGCCACTACCCCTTAATTCATGAACATTCACTAAACTGCAATGGGGTTCCTTGTATGGTATATCAGGAATATTCCTTCCTTAAGGAGTCTCGGAGTCTCTGGATAGGGTTTAGGGTTTAGGGTTTAGGGTTTAGGGTTTAGGGTTTAGGGTTTAGGGTTTAGGGTTTAGGGTTTAGGGTTTAGGGTTTAGGGTTTAGGGGATCTTTGGATTGTAAGCAACATTCCTGAAGTAAGGAGTAGTGGAGTCTCTGGATCTTATGAATCGTTGGAGTGTTCGAGTTGTTTTTTTTTAGCCCTAACCCTAAACCCTAAACCCTAAACCCTAAACCCTAAACCCTAAACCCTAAACGGGATCATGGGAGTGCTCGAGTTTTTTTTCGGAGGACGTCCGGCGCATGCAGATCTCCGCCGGGGCCTGTGCCGCCATCCTGGCGGATTGCTCGGTGTCGTCCCTTGGCGGTTTAGGGTTTAGGGTTTAGGGTTTAGGGTTTAGGGTTTAGGGTTTAGGGTTTAGGGTTTAGGGTTTAGGGTTTAGGGTTCTTAGTATGATACCATTATTCTTTTTGTTATTACTATGATTATGATTATTGTTGTTATTGCTATTATTGCTATTCAAGACCCACAAACCCGTATATGCCCTGGAAACCCCCACTGCCATCCTTACACCCGTAATCCCAGAAACCCGACAACCTTGTGTTGTATCCGTTTAGGGTGAGGAAAAATGAAGGGCTTCGTGAGGCATTGGGGAGTGTTTCAAGACCCTACAAACCAGTGGCCTTATAAACCCTGATGCCAACACAAAAACCTAATCCCAGAAACCCGGCAACTTCGCACAAATTCCTTCTCCTGCTCACTTTTCGGGGTGCAAGGCCCCCTTATCAAGTAACCGTGACCTTATTATTTTTATGGTACGAAGGGACGCCGAGTTTGAGGCCAAAGATGAAAGGTTTGTTGAGGCGTTGGGGGGTGTAGCCGATCTTGACCGTGCCATGCAGCCTGTTCTTTCAAGCATGATCCCTATTCAAGGTTGAGTTGTGGGGTGGGTTTAAGCCCTCGAGCCAGAATCCTTATAAGCCCTGAACCCTAATCCCTGCGAACCCCTTTCAGCCTAGCAAGCCTCAACCCTGCTGACACCCTTACAGCCCATGGCCACCGTGCTGGGCGCCAGCCATGTCACTCCGGAGGACTACGATGTTCCGGAGCCGGATCGGAGGCCGGGCGCGGCGCCCCCAGGGCCGAGACAGCCCTCCCCCTGGGTGGTGCATGGCGCACTGATTTTGGCGCAAGTGATCTTCGGATCATCCTCTGTGGTTGGCAAGTTGGGCGTGGAGAAGTTCAATCCCCTGCTATTTGCCTTGATCCGCGAAGGGGTGGCGGGACCCTTGCTGCTGGTGATGGCCCTCGTCTCCGATGGCTGCTTGAAACCTGCTGATAACGACTGGAATTTGATCCTGTTGATGGGCTTCTGCGTCTTCTCCAACCAAGCCTTCTCCATTCTGGGCATCAAGTTGGCAGGGCCAGTGATCAGCAGCGCCTGGCAGCGCCTTAGTAGCTGAATGAGTACACTTTACACTTCTTGGGATACCAGAATCCCCTACAGAACTGAGATTGTACACTTTTTTTTGGGGCTTATGAACTCAGCAACTATAACGCTTAACCCTCTAAAAACCCTAAACCATAGAAGGTGCTCACAGCCAATCTTCACCTTGGCGATCAGCCTTGTTCTAGGCTGGGAAGCACCCACTTGCCGCAAGGTGCTGGGAATCTCGGACCTCGAGTCGGCCTTCTTTAGGGTTTAGGGTTTAGGGGTTTAGGGTTTTAGGGCTTAGGGCTTAGGGTTTAGGGTTTAGGGTTTAGGGTTTAGGACCCGGAGTAGGGCCCTTATTTCCTTTTTTGTTTAGGGTTGGGGTTCCCTTATAATCCCCTTAAAGCCAAAAAAGAGGCATCTTTTTATTCCTAGGTTACTCCTGGGTCGAGGAATTCTACTGTCCTTCGTCAGTGGGGCCTTTCTGGTGATCTACGGCCACCAGATCGGTGATGCTGGGGCCATGGGGAACATCTTCTTGGCCTTCAACTGTCCCTTGGACTTGAGCTTCACAGTGGCTTCAGATTGAGGGTTTCGAGATTGAGGTTTCGGGGGGGGATTTTTTTCAACTTTTCCAGGTTCGGGTGCCAACCAGGTAGTGTGGCATACTCTCTCTTGCATCAGTTGTTCAACATGGGCCCTCAGATCCTTGCGAGTTTCTACTAATCAATTAACTAACTAATTAATTAATTAAAATTAATGAATTAATTGAGGAATTAATTAATTAATTTCTAATTAATTAATTAACTAATTAATTAACTAAGCCAGTTACGGATCAGGCACCTACAGCTCATTCCGGGCTCTGTCGCAACCCCGAGGTCTGGGCACCTCGCTCTACGTGATCTTCGCCAAGGTCGCCTTGAAGCGCTACCCTCCGATGACCGTAACCGCCTGGGCTATGATGGCGGCGAGCTTGATGATGGCCTTGCTGGCAGGAAGCTTGGGCAACTCGGACCTGGAGAGTAGGCCCTTATTTCCCTTTTTTTTACAGGGTTGGGGTTCCCTTCAAATTCCCTTGTAGGCCCTTATTTCCTTTTTTTGGGGTTGGGGTGCCCTCATAATTCCCCTTAGAACCAAAAGGGCACCCTTTTTATTCCTAGGTTACTCCTGGGTCTAGGCAACAACTGCGCAGTGATTCATTTTGTCTGCCCACCCTCGGGGGACCATGATTTCAGATGCGGAAATCTGGAGACCTCCTGTTTGCCGTGGCATGTGCCCAGCACCGCACTGCCGTCCTTGATCTACTTCGTCTTGGGCAACAGCATTGGAGCATACCTGCTGATCACATGGGCCAACAGCTACGCCAGGGCCGGCTTCGTGTTGGCCTACACGGCCCTGCAACCCTTCACCAGCACGGTGCTCAGTGTGATTCTGATCCTAGGATGGCAGGTGAAGGGCTTGGAGATGCCTGGCTGGAATGCCTTGGGCTGCATCGGCATCTTGTTGGCCCTGGTTCTGCTGGTTTGGGATGGAAAACGCCAGCATGAGGTGGATGAAGCCAGGAAGTTCTGCAGACTGGAAGCTGGGAAGCTAGCTGGCCATTGGTCGTCCTACGCACAGGTGGCGCAAAGAAAGTGGGACGGACATCAGAGAGTCGCTCCCTATAAGAGCCAGCCCTTGGGGACTGGTTGACCCCTACAAGGGTTCACGGTTCATGCTTTTTCTGAGCAAGATATTGCGGCATCGAGTATACTTTCGGGACTTTCCCTAAACCCTAAACCCTAAACCCTAAACCCTAAACCCTAAACCCTAAACCCTAAACCCTAAACCCTAAACCCTAAACCCTAAACCCACAAAGGGCTTAGGGTTTCAGGCTCCGGTGATATGATCCCAGAGGCTCCTAGAGGGTGGGGCCCCCTAGTTCAAAGTAGAGTTATAAGGGCCCTAAATTGGGTTATAAGGACCCTAAGTTAGGTTATAAGTCCCTTAACTACAGTTAGTATAGTAAGGGGGCCCCACCCTGTAGAGGCACAAAAATCCCCTCACTGCCCAGGACCTGGGGCCACGCCGACTTCGGTGGCGAGGGTGCCCCGCAGCCGAAGCTCTCCAAGGTTCCTCACCTTTTAGGGTTTAGGGTTTAGGGTTTAGGGTTTAGGGTTTAGGGTTTAGGGTTTAGGGTTTAGGGTTTAGGGTTTAGGGTTTAGGGCTGGGGTTTAGGGTTTAGGGTTTAGGGTTTGTTTTTTTTGCTTTGGGTTTAGGGTTTAGGGTTAAACGGGTTTAGGGCTAGGATATCCGGCTTTTTTCCGGAGATATAGCCCTTATAGCCCATCTAACGACGACTTCGTACATATAACATAAGCAAATAGGTATGAACAACCTAGCGAACATAGCATGTGTATGTGTGTATATACTGTATGTTATACATATCATCCAGTTTGTGTATGTGTATATCTATATCCACGTATACATATGTATATGCATGTGTGAAAAGTCTATGTGCCCTTAGAAGACGATGAAGCTCCACCCTAAACCCTAAACCCTAAACCCTAAACCCCAAACCCTAAACCCTAAACTCTAAGAGAAACCGGATCTTTGCCAGGTTCGCGATCTCGAGGCGACGCAAAGGGCCTTCGCGGCGATCTGCGAGGCTGGGACTTTTAGGGTTTAGCGTTAAGGGTTGAGGGTTTAAGGTAGGGGGGGTTTGGGCATTTAGGGATGTAGGTGTGTTGGGGGTTTAGGGTTTGGGTGTTTTTGGTTTCGGGGTTTTGGGCCTACGGGTTGAGGGGTTTAGGGGTTCAGGGTCTTCTGGGGTTTGGGAGTTGAATGGGGGGATGGGGTCTTGGGCGTCAGAGGGTTAGGGCTTTGGGGTTTACAGTTTTTTTTTTTTTTTTTTTTTTCTGGTTGTTAGGGTTGAGAGTTTAGGGTTAGGGTGTTCTGGGATCTCGGGCTTAAAAGAAAGGGTTTAGGGTTCAGAGTCGATGGGGTTAGACTTGAAGTTTTAGGTTCAGGGTGTTTGGACTGTTGGGGCTTATAGCGCCAAGGAGTGAGATTTTTCACAGTTTGGGACTTAGCGTTTGGCTTTCTTTTAGTGTGTAGGGTTCAGGGTTCAGGGTTCAGGGTCTAGGGTTTAGGGTTTAGGGTTTAGGGCTTAGGGTTCAGGGTTTAGGGTTTAGGGTTTAGGGTTCAGTTCAGCAAGAGTGAGTAAGCAGGAGTTGTCGCATGCTGTCTCTTCGTGTAGCTGGTCAGGGTTGCTCTTTTGTCTGAGATCCAGAAATTGTCAATTCTCAAAATCACTGTCCTTTTTTGGGCCTTTTTAGTGACCCTAAAAGGGACCAAAATCACCAAATGAAGTTTCTATTCCTTCTGGGGGGCCTTGCGGAGACTTCTACATTCTTGGGTGGCCGAGCCATATCCGTAACCTGCAACAACTCCATTCACCTCCTTTGAGCTCTCACCTGCGGCATCCCACATCATCCCACCGATTTAGGGCTTAGGGTTTAGGGTTTATAGTTTAGTGTTTACGGTTTCGGCATCCTTTCGAAGCGATAAGAACTTCCCTTAGAGTGGGCCGTCAGCGAACACCCTCAAGCATGAATCCTGCGTCCTGACGCTTGAACCGGTCTCTTGAAGCCTGCAGCCCTAACCATAAACCCGACACTGTCCCTGCTCATCCCAAGACCTAAACCCTAAACCCTAAACCCAAAACCCTAAAATAAGCCCGAAACCACAGCGCCCCTTGGGAGGATCACTCGGTGGTCTGTTGGGGAGTGGCCGGTTTTGGCTCCTTTGGCTGGCACTACTTGGATCTATTGGGGGTCCTTTTGGGAGGGTTTAGGGTTTAGGGCTTAGGGTTTAGAGTTCAGGGTTTGGGGTTGGGGTTTAGGGTTTAGGGTTTAGGGTTCTGGCCATCCTGTGTGCAATCCGCTAGAGTAGCTCGTGTTTCGCATTGGGGATTCGACCACATCTGCGCGTCAGAGAAGCCTGACCTTCTAGCTTACCACGTTGGGTATAGGGTTCAGTATACTAGGATGCCCAGTAGTACCCTTATTCCCTTTTTGGGGGGGTTTAGGTTCCCTTATAAGCCCCTTTTGAGCAAAAAAGATACTGGGCAGCCTAGTAGGATTCAGCGTTTCGGGTGGGTTGAGGGCTTTATAAGCCAGAAGCCGCGGCAGGCCAGCCCCATGTTGCCGTGAGCCTTCCATGAAGGCTTTATCCCAAACAAAGCCCCCTAAACCCTAAACCCTAAACCCTAAACCCTAAACCCTAAACCCTAAACCCTAAACCCTAAACCCTAAACCCTAAACCCTAAACCCTAAACCCTAAACCCTAAACCCTACCCCTAAACCCTAAACCCTAAACCCTAAACCCTAAACCCTAAACCCTAAACCCTAAACCCTAAACCCTAAACCCTAAACCCTAAACCCTAAACCGAACCGCACGGGCAGGTTTGCAGGTTACGGCCTGTTCTGGAGTACCTAAGTATCAGGCCCCGTTTGTTTTCAAAAAAGGACTTATAAACCTCAAACAAGCAAGCCTGCAAACCCTACAAGCCCTTACTCCTAACTTAGTGAACCTCCCTCAGCGTGGGATAATCCCAGGGTTTAGGGTTTAGGGTTTAGGGTTTAGGGTTTAGGGTTTGGGGTTTAGGGTTTAGGGATCCCAAAGCTTCTTCAAGCCAAGGTGCAGACAGCAGCGGCGACTCAGCTATGAAAAGCCGGGTCTGTGTACCCATTAATACGAGGCCGAAGTGTACCTTAATGGGGGTATGTATGGGTCTCAAAGGGTGTTTGGGGGGGGGGGGGGGGGGGGTCTAGGTAGGCCCTTGCGATTTAGGAGTTTAGGCTTTACAACAAATTTGCCGGGTCTCATCAGAGCCAGCTTTAAGTCGGAATCGAAAGCCCCCTCAATTCAAGCTGAGAGGGAAAAGCCCACTCAAACTTCAGAATAGGCGCCTTGGAGCCCCGTACAAACTCTCCAAACCCAAATCGCATTGAACTCAACCACCCCCGAATCTTACCCCATTGTAGTATGAGCAAAAAAGTAGCACCTACTGATTTTCTTCTGCTGCATCCAAAGCATAAACAAGGTGCTCCCCAGAAAGGACCTTACAATACAGGGTCCAGGTAGAAAGCCTCAGGTGTTCAAGAGCAGCTCTGCGGTGTCCGGCGCCTGCAGTCAACGCCACTCGACTGGAAGGGTTTAGGGTTTAGGGTTTAGGGTTTAGGGTTTAGGGTTTAGGGTTTAGGGTTTAGGGTTTAGGGTTTAGGGTTTAGGGTTTAGGGTTTAGGGTTAGGTCCTTTGGTTCGGCGGGTTTGGGATGTCAAGGGACAAAACGAGGGACCCTTATAAGGGACCTTAGGGGTTATTTAGGGGCATACAAATAGTACCTACCTTGGGGCCTACATTCAATAAATAACGCGGGCAGTTCGGGTTTAGGGGTTGAGGTCTGAGGTGGGCCAATGAAGAAGGAATCTCTGCCTTCCTATCCAGAACCCCAAACCCTAATCCCTGAATCCGTATTTCCACACATCTTCATGCACAGCAGCAACAAACATCTTTCACTGCTGTAGGTAGATGACCGACTCTGTATCTGGGGAACCTCTGCAACCCTCTACCCTAAACCCGAAACACTATTAGTAAACCACTCAACCCCTGAACCCTGAGCCCTAAACCCTCAACACCATATCCCTAAACCCCTAATTAAACCCTAAACCCTGTAAACCCTCTAAACCCTGTAAAAGCTAAACTCTGAACCTAGGCAACGCGCCTTCGCCGCGCTGCGGGCAGATGGCCGCGTGATCGCCTGGGGCAGCGAGTCTACTCCTGCACTTGGCTGGTTGGGTTGAGGGTTGAGGGTTTAGGGTTTGGGGTTCAGGGTTCGGGTTGAGCGTTTAGGGTTTAGGGTTTAGGCTTCAGGCTTCAGGGTTTTGGGTTTAGGGTTTAGGGAGAACATCTTCTCTTATAGGCTCCCTTGGGATATTCAAAAGGAGGTAGGGCTAAGGGTTCAGAGAGCCTATGTAGGAATATGGTTCAAAGCGCCAACCTGATGGGGTATGGCGGCCTTCACGCCCTGGCGCCGCGGCTTTAGGGTTGAGGTTCGGTCCCTGAGTCTACTTTCCCCCTATACCCCACCCCCCCACACATAGGGTTTAGGGTTTAGGGTTTAGGGTTTAGGGTTTAGGGTTTAGCGCCAAGCGCTGTCGGCCAAATTTCGCGGGTTGGGACGATGAGGAAGCCTAGGAGACGGCGTTTATCCGCACAAGCTGTTTATCCCAGCTGGACTTTTTGCTTTCACGACTTTTCAGACTCATCCGATATGAAAACGTCTTCAAGCATCTTGCAAAGCAGTGTAGGCAACGTGACCCTAGCCCAAACTCCAATGGCCACCAATTCCTTGCAACCAGCATCGGGAAAAATCGTGTTAAACCCCAAACCCAAATCCTAAACCCTATGAACTTTAGACCCCAACCGCGAACCCTACAGAACCCGAGAAGCCCAGAAATGTAGGGGAGAGACGGCCCCAAAAAGGAAGCCTTCGGGGGCGACGCACGCGCGGTGCAGGACCAGCTTGTGCAGGCGCCAACAAGAGGGAGAGTGCTTTAGGGGGTTTGCCTCGGGTTTCGGGCACCTTGTTCGGAACGTAGGGGTAGGGGTGCGGTGGCTTTTCGGGTTTAAGGTGTTTGAGGGCTGAGTTTGCTTCGTAGTTCTACTGGGTTTAGATGCTGTTGGTTTGCTTGTCTTTGGAGAACGAAAGCGGAGCAGATGCCGCTGAAGCCAGAGCAACTCCAACAGAGTACACGGCTCGCAGCTTGACTGCTCCGGTCTCCGAAACTGTACATGCACGTCAGAACCCACGAGCGCGCCGTGTACGCCGATCACCGACGCTTGTGTCGCAATTGTTCAACGATTGGTTTGTCTAGTTCTCGGTGCCCGCACCCATGACACCTGGTAGTCTGCAAGATACAGCCCTAATTACAACACCTACCACCTGACAAAGGAAGTCATAAACCCTGATGTGCGAAACCCTATGCCTAATCACTATAATGAGATCTGCACCCTACTTGCCACATGACCCTCCTCATGATATTCATCACAAGAGAAGCCTAATCCATACTTACTAAACTCTAGTCCTAACATGTCCGGATCCTGACCCGAATCACCCTAAACCCTTAACTCCAAACCGTAAACTCTAAACCCCAAGCCCTAAACCCTAAACGCCAAACCCCAAACCCCTGAAGCCTGAATAAACTCCTCAATGTTGCTTCGGCCGCACAGGTCAAGAGGATCGAGTCTAATGGCTGGGCGTTCCTTGGAAGCCCTGTGAGTCCCCCCAAGCCTGCATTTTAGGGTTTAGGGTTTAGGGTTTTGGTGTTCAGTGTTCAGAGGCTTGAGGGCTGATAAGGGTTTGTAAGGGTCTATATGGGCGTATAATGGTTTAGGAGGGTTTATGAGGGTGTATAAGGGTTTATAAGGGGTTCATGTGGGCTTATGGGTTTTTGTTCAAGGGTTTTTAGGGGCGTATAAGGGTTTATCAGGGTTGTGAAGCTCAAAGCCCTCTCACTCCTACAAGCCCTCCACGAGTTTAGGGTGGTTCAAGGGCTTAAGGGTTATGAGGGAGTAGGGGCTGGTAAGGGTTTATAAGCCAAAGCCTTAAGGCCTTAAACCCCAAACTCTACAGCCCTGTAACCCTGAACCATTAAACCCTAGCAGCCCTACAGCCCTAACCCTAACCAAGCTCCATATTCAAAAATGCGCAAAATACTCAACCATTCTAAAGCTCCTTAACCCTTGTCAAAACCCTAAAGCCCCTCAACCCTAAAACCCGTAAACCCTATAGCTCTCAACCCAAACCCTAAACCCTAAACCCTAAACCAAAACCCAAAAGCCCTGACACCCTCAAACCCTCAAAATCCAGAAGCCCTATAGCCCAAACTCCTAAAACACCCCCCCCCCCCCCCCCCCCCCCCCCCCCCCCCCAAATCCCCAAACCCTGAATCCCGCCCGTGACGAAAGTCCGCAGCGACCTAACCCAAACATCCTAAAACCCCAAACCCAAAACCCAAACCCCAAACCCCCCAAACCCCAAACCCCAAACCCCAAACCCCAAACCCCAAACCCCAAAACCCAAAAACCCCAAACCCCAAACCCCAAACCCCAAACCCCAAACCCCAAACCCCAAACCCCAAAACCCCAACCCCAAACCCAAAACCCCAAACCCCAAACCCCCAAACCCCAAACCCCAAACCCCAAACCCCAAACCCCAAACCCCAAACCCCAAACCCCAAACCCCAAACCCCAAACCCCAAACCCCAAACCCTAAACCCTAAACCCTAAACCCTAAACCCTAAACCCTAACCCCTAAACCCTAAACCCTAAACCCTGCCCGCAGCAACACGTGGAGCCCAGATTTGCCGCTCTCCGTGCCGATGGCGCGGTGGTGACCTGGGGCCGCCGCGGCTGCCCCTTTCCACGAAGCGGCGTTTTAGGGTTTAGGGTTTAGGGTTTAGGGTTTAGGGTTACAAGGTTATAGGGTGCATTTGGGTTCTAGGGTTCTAGAGGGTTTAGGGTTCGCTTGCTGCTTTTGTTTAGTTTTGTTGGTTTGTGTGCGTGTGGCAAATTTGTGTTGATGGTGTTGTTGTGTTTGGCTTTTGTATTGGTTCTGTTTGCGTAGGCGCTAAAGGAATGACTCTTGTGTTGAGGATAGCATGTTTAGTGGTCAGGGAACCTTGCTTGGTTTTGCGGGGGCGCCTTATGTGGGATGAAAGGATGCTAGGGGTTGCTGGGTTTGTTTGGGGGAGGCTTGGGTGTCGGCTTTAGGGTTTTAGGGTTGAGGGTTACAGGGTTTAGGGTTTAATTGGGGTTTAGGGTTTAGGATTTAGGGTTACGGGCGTTTAGGGTCTAAGGGCCCCTGAGAGCCGCATGAAACCCACAGCCGAGATGGCGGCGACAGCCGCGACATCCAGCAGCCCCTTGGAAGAGTGGAGGAAGCTATGGTCTCGTTCAACTCGAAAGAACGAACACACCTACTTGCGGGGGTGTCCTAAACCCTAAACGCTAAACCCCTAAACCCTAAACCCTAAACTTTGGGGTGTGTCTCGCATAGGAGTCTGTGCAGACTTCGCAGGAGTAAAGCCCCAAACTAAACCCCTCCCGAAACCCTAACCCCTCAGTTCAGTGGTAGAGGTGTGTTCCAAGGCCGCGGCTTGCCGGTTGCATTTGTGTCCTGGTCCTTTTTTCTTAGTGTCGCGAAATTTTGAGAAGCAGCGTCAACTCAGGGGGGGGGGGGGGGGAAGGGGGCTTGCCCTAAGCAACTCAACCCCCTGAAGGCCTGAAGCCACCTTGTTAAGTCATCAGTCCTAAGCCCATCGACTCTGATCCCGGGGTGTATAAGCTGGGTTTGGGTTTACCCTGTGCCCAAAAAGACCCTAAGCCATGTATGCCCCATAAGCCCTACAAGCCCTATAAGCCCTGAACTCTGCTATGCCTCCCAAGGCTCCGTGATGTCGTGGATATTTGTGGCTCCGACACCGCTTTTGCGGCCACCTGTGCGGACGGGCGAGCCCCTCTGACATCAACTCATCAACTTAAGGTTCAGGTTTAGGGTTTAGGGTTTAACCCTAAACCCTAAACCCTAAACCCTAAACCCTTAAGGTTTCGGCTTGTTGGCTTGAAGGTGCACTGTAGGGTTTAGGCCCATTTTTGTGGCGGGGGGGGGGGGTGGGGGTGGGTCGGTGTGGTAAGGCTTGATGAATTCCCTTTTTGGTTTACGGTTTCGGGTTTGGGGTACCCTAAAAAATACGTCTCGCCCTCATAATGGGAACCCCGCAGGGACCAACAAATTCTAGAAGTGACCATACACTCAACCCTAAACCCTAAACCCTAAACCCTAAACCCTAAACCCTAAACCCTAAACTCCCTCAATAAAGCCCCGGAAAGACCCCAAACTGCCAAGACCTTGGAGAAGCCCCCTGGTTCTTAGTAGGGAATGAGGCAGTGACGGCCGTATATGTATATCGGTACCTCATGCCCCCATTCCCTACCAGCCAGAGAAGGCACGTTCCCTAAACCCTAAAATCTGAGCCCTAAACCCTAAACCCTAAACTGCCTAAACCCTAAACTGCCTAAACCCTAAACCCTAAACCCCAAACCCTAAACCCTAAAAGCCAAAGGTGGTCGCCTGGGGTGAGGCCAGGGACGGGGGCAACTGCCGGCCGGCTACTTGGAGCAGAACCAGATCTCGTAGGGGGTGTCGGGTTTGGGAGTTGGTGGGATCGTAGCCCTAAACCCAAAACCCTAAGCCCAAAACCCTAAAGCCTGAACCCTATTGTTGGGTAGGGGAGGTTGTCTCGAGCTTGCCGCCTTTTCTACATGCAGCTTCTGTTCATTCTGTTTTTGGGTACATGCTTTGAATGTTTTGAGCAACTATTCGCTTCAGGTCTTAGCGCTTGGAGGGATGGTCTGAAAGACTTTCTTGGCGGCCTTCGCGAGAGGGCGGGCGGGCTGATTGGCGGGCTGGCCGAGTTCTTCCATGCTCAAGCTTTCGGTGGGGCGGGTGGGGAGAATTGCCAAGGCTAGAGTAGGGTGTAGGATTTAGGGCTTTTTAGGAGAATCAGGACCCCGGTTTAGGGCTTGGGGGGAGGGTTTAGGGCTCAGTCAAAATCAAACTCTTTCAAACCCCTCGATCCCCAAACCCCGGCCCATACCATTCAACCTCAACAGGCCCTGAGCAAAGTGCCAACCTTTTGCCACACCAGGTGCAGCATGAGCTCCGCCAGGCCAGCGTTTAGGGTTTAGGGGGCATGTGCGGGGGATGTAGGAATGGCCAACTTGCCTGTATCTGCGTAAGTAACATGTCACTCCCAGTTCCCGGAGTCTCCATCGTCGAATTCTTTGTCTTTGGTGCGCTCGCGCAATGCGAACGTGGCCCGCATGAAGGTCCTGCAGTTCTGTGTGTCGCGGTCAACATGTGCAGTGACACCGTCGTCATGGGTTGCTAGGGTAGTTCTTCTGTCAACACTGTGCCCCATTCACTTGCGAAAAACATCCACCCTAAACCATGAATCCGAAGCCCTAGACGACCTCCCACGAAGCGCGGGGAAAGGGGAGCCCCAAACCCTTATCCACCTTAATGGTTACATTGTAGATCATGAACCACAGAGACGGAGGAGGAGAGAGGAAAAGCTAAACCCAAAACCCCTCACAGAAACGACAGGGGTAGGGGATGCCATAAGGGGTGGGATAGGGGGGTGGGGGGGGGGGGGATCCATGAATGCTGGCGCACATAAGCACTAAACCCTAAACCGTAAACCGCCAATCCTTCCGAAGAGGTCTGGCAGCTAGCTGCAACCGGCTCAGCCTTTGCTGCGCTCCGTGCGGATGGCCGTGTGGTGTTTTGGCCGAGTTGCTGTTTAAAGGGGTTTAAGGCTTCAGGGTTTCGGGTTTAGGGTTTAGGGTTTAAGGCTGTTTGGCTTAAGGCTTCAGGATCTTGTCAGATGTGTAGGCGTCATGTTTGGAGGTGCAGGTGTTTAGCAATGTTCACGGCCTTTGGGCTTTAGGGTTAGAAAAAATGGGGCCATTCCCGGATTTCAGTATGTTTTGGGGTCTGACTGAGTTTTTCCGTTTAGTTCTGGGGGGTTTTTGGAGGCCAGGAGAAGTCAAGTCCTACCCCATGTCAACAAGCAAATATAGAACTAAAGTCATCCAGGCTTATGTGTCTGAGACACCTCCTCGAGGTGACGTGGGGGCACAAGCAGTTCGGTGGTGACAGCACGCACGTGCAGAAGCAGCTGCGTGATGCTCCTCGGACTCTACCTTGCCCCCCTCTTGTCGTGAACTTGAAAGCTCTATCCTAAGCGCTGCCCCTTTCGGGTTCAAGACTGTTGATACTTGTCTTTTTGGCAACCCAGTGGTACCCTTTTACTATTTTTGCTTCAAGGTTCCCTTGTGAAGTAACCAGCCCAGAAAAGAGTGCCCTTATTCGAATATGGTTACCGGGCTACCGCGTAGTTGAAGTCAGGCTGAATCGCATGCAACCTCGAGAGTCGGAACATGCCGTGGCCTTTCTGATCTCCTGAGTTTGGGGATGTTACCCCTAAGACTAACAGCCCTTCATAGGGTAGGGATTACAGTACTTCCGATTATGATCCCCATTCAGGACTGCTAGTTAGGGTTTAGGGTTTAGGGTTTGGGGTTTGGGATTTGGGGTTTGGGATTTGGGGTTTAGGGTTTGGGGTTTGGGGTTTGGGGTTTAGGGTTTAGGGTTTAGGGTTTAGTTAGTACAAGGGGAACATCCCAATCCTGAGGTCAAGAGGATTTCGGCCACCAAAGGCCCGGAGTCACTGACTTGGCTATCACACATTTAGGGCTTAGGGTTTAGGGTTTATCGGGTTTAGGGTTTAGGGTTTAGGGTTTAGGGTTTAGGGTTTAGGGTTTAGGGTTTAGGGTGGCCAGACCCCTGAATCCTTCGAGACTCTTTTGGTGATGGTTGTTTTTTTGGGGTGGCCCTGCGACTTGCAGTGGTGCCCTCTACTCCCGGTTATAGGGTTTAGGGTTTAGGGTTTAGGGGTTTAGGGGTTTAGGGGTTTAGGGGTTTAGGTACTTCGACCGAACCCTCACAGAATCGGTAGAATGCCAAGTTGTTGCCCTGGAACTGTGTAAAACCTAGGTCGGCCCTGGGGATGTTGTCTATGTTCCCTTTTTGGGTTTAGGAGTGTCATAGTTAGGAATATTTTTGAGAGGGTTTTCAGGGCCTAAACCCTAAACCCTAAACCCTAAACCCTAAACCCTAAACCCTATCAACCCTAAACTCTATAAACCCTGAACCCTAAACCCTCTTGCTGGGAGGAGCCTTCGCCGCGCTGTGCGCCGACGGCCGCGTCGTGACGTGGGGCGACCAGGGATGCGGCGGAGATTCGACGGAGGCGAGGCAGAGTTGACCCAATCAGGGTTTAGGGTTTAGGGTTTGTGTTGGGTTTTAGGGTTTAGGGTTTAGGGTTTAGGGCTTAGGGTTTAGTGTTTAGGGTTTAGTGTTTAGGGTTTAGGGTTTAGGGTTTAGGGAGCTCAACAACTCCTGCGCCCTACTTCTTAGCCTAGGGTTCCTACCTTGAAGACCAGATGAACCCGAAAAGGGTTTATGGTTCATACACCTGAATAGGGATTCTAGTAAATAGGGTATGCGACTCCCCATGAGTCTATCGCTGCTTGGGACGGAAGGTTTGGCAGCAGAGTATTCGGTGCAAGGAAGCTGTAGACAGGCTTTGGTGTGTGCAGTGGCGCTTTCCGAACTTCAGCATTTTCTCTTCAACCCTTCAAACTGCCCATTTCCCTAATTAAACCCTAAACCCTAAACCCTAAACTCTAGTCTTCCAAAGGGTCTGGCACCCAGTCGAGGTGCAGAGGGAGCTGAAGGATGTGCAGCAGATCTATGCCACAACTGGATCCTTCGGTGCCATGCGAGAAGATGGCAGTGTGGTGTCCTGGCCTCTTACCCGGCACTCTGCTGCCGACTCGCAGGAGTAGGAGATTGCGTTTAACTCGGACTTGCTCCGTAAATTGTTTAAGACATCTGTTCAAGAAGTTTTGACAGCTTGCTGCGGCTTTCACAGAGGATCTCAGTTTTCCACATCCACAAGGAGATCCTGGTAATGTAGGGGCCTTCTTGACTCGAGAGAGCAGTTGGAGATTTTGTGCCGAAGTATATAGGCATTCTTACGGGGGAGAACCATGTTAACTACTTTGGCTTCCCTTGGGGAAGAAGTCTCCTTGGCGATTTTGGGCTCCTATATTGCACTGCTGCAGCGTCTCTGCGTTTGTGCGCTTAAGTCTCTGTGTGCAGTCCCCGAAGAACATTGCGTTGCCGAAGCCAGGAACCCTTGAAGTCAAGGTATTCTTCCTGGGTTTTCTTCCGGGTGCTTCGTATTTAACACCCTCTGATTCTCAGCCCGGGAAGCCCTGCCTGGCTAAGCCTACAAAATCCCAAAGCTTTCCCTAAACCCGAAACCTTTTAAATCCTAAACCTTAGGGTTTAAAGCACTGTCGGCGTACGGCGCAGAGACTGACATGATCGCCAGGGGCCGTTGCGAAGTCAGCCCCCTACTAGTGCATAAAAAATCATGTGTCGACAGTGGGGCGCGAGAGGAGGGGCAGTGGGAGGGTTTCCTATAAAGCAACATTGTAGTTCCTCTGCTGCGGTACAGTACCGGATAGCTTACTACATGCTGCATCGTAGGTACCCCAAGGGCACTACAATTTGGGGAGGTCTGGGAGGGGTCTACATCTCCCCGAAGACCCCTTACCGCTCGGAGTATCATCAGGCGCCCTAAGCCACTAAGCCCCTAAACCCCGAAACCCAAGCGGTGCTGGGTGATTCGAGCTAAGGCTCCTAAAGTTTGTGCACGTGATTCTTGTCGATGTGTTGCAGCCCTGTCTTAGTCCTCTTCAGCTTTGATCAGAATAATGGAGGGTCGGAATAAGTACTAGTAATATTCCTATGTAATTATACGATAATTACCCCCCAATACCTGTTCCAATTCTTCAGGCCCCTATGGTAGCGCACAAAGGTGCATCGACCAACTTGCTAGGTGCCCAAGGTGTTTTCCACAGACTACTGCGAACCTTCGCTGGTTGAAGTTGTGTTTATGTGAAGGTGCTAGCTTGTTGTCTTCCATCATCCGACTTGGCACTTTTTGCCAGACCAGGTGCCCTAAACCCTGAGCCCTAAACCTAAAACCCCCAAGTGCCTGCAGGCAGACCTCGTCGCAGCATGCGCCTGGACCCCGGCATGTTGGTACCCTGCCCTGGTCTCTCTCTCCCTAAACCCTAAACCCTAAACCCTAAACCCTAAACCCTAAACCCTAAACCCTAAACCCTAAACCCTAAACCCTAAACCCTAAACCCTCTCTCTCCCTGCTCTCCCTCCCCTCCCTGCTCTCCCTCCCTCCCTGCACCGCACGTAAGGGCAGCTTGAGTAGCCCTAAACCCTAATGACCCTATTTAAAGTCAAGTTGCGTGGGCTATTCAGGACACCCTGACTGTTTGGGGGTGCAGACCAGGTCCCTCTTTACAGTCAAATCGTCCGGGCGTCGAAATCAAGAAATTTCGCTCGGCGCGCCTTTAAAATCGCTGTCCATATACAAACTCCTCCCGATTACAACCATATAAAACCCGCAAACCGTGTAAACAGGGCGAAAACCGGGGGCCCCACGCACTAAAGAGGGTCCAACCTCAAGCCCTAAGCCCTAAACCCTAAACCCTAAATCAGAGCCGTTCGTCCCGATGAAGCTGGGGGGGGGGGGGGGGGAGCATGGGCCCTCCACAGTCTACCTCAACCCTCCTTTTTGGTGTGGTTGTCTACAGTTACAGAGTAAGCAGATACATCTAACTCCTAAGCCTCCGGCCTCCAAAATACACTCGCACCTTCGTCTGGGCCCTATAACGAGAAACAGGCAACGCAACCAAGGAGACCGATTAGGGTTTGGGGCTTGGGATTTGGTGTGCCTGAGGCTATCCTTGAAGAGCGCGGCGCTGACGTACAGGCCCACAGAAGCTGGGTTTAGGGTTTATGGTTTAGGGTTTAGGGTTTAGGGTCCCAAATTGCAAAATTATGCGCCCGGACACCCCGAACCTTGAATCCGTACCTCGCGAAAGGCCAGCTCTTGTACAGCATGTGAGCAGCTGATGGTCGTTTGGAGAGTTCGGGGTTAGATTTCTGGGTAATACGCCTAGACCCGGAACCCTAAACTTCAAGCCCTAAACCCTAAACCTTAAATTAAACCTTAAACCCTAAACCTTAAACCCTAAACCTTAAACCCTAAACCCTAAACCCTAAACCCTAAACCCCAAACCCTAAGCCCTAAGCCCTAAAACCCTGCACCCTCCTGTCTCAACCTCGGAGTCAAGTGCTCCAGTTGCAGGCGCTGGACGATCGGGGTCGGGAGCCATGGGAGGCCGGAGGGCTCAGAATGCATAGGGTTTAGGGTTTGGGGTTTAGGGTTTTGGGTTTAGGGTTTAGGGTTTAGGGTTTGGGGTTTGGGGTTTAGGGTTTAGGGTTTAGGGTTTCCGGTTTAGGGTTTAGGGTTTAGGGACCCTGGCCCTAAATAGCACCTAAGATGGATCGCATTTAGGAGTGTATTTGCCGGGAGGGCCCGACCTCGCTACGTAAAGCATAGGGCGGTTTAAGTTTTTTGGTCTCGGGTCGTAGGGTTTTTAAAGACTTTTGGCCGCTCAGCTGCGTCCAGATCTCAGGGTACTTAGCTGTAGGCAGCCCAGAAGCCCAAGTGTTTCGCATGGTCTGAGCTACCTAAACCCTAAACCCTAAACCCTAAACCCTAAACCCTAAGCACCCCAAATGGCTTCGCGGCCCTGAGTGGTGGTCTTCCGTGTGCATGGGCTCCCCAGTCTGGCATCTGACTTTAGGGTCTAGGGTTTTGTGCTTAGGGTTAGGGTTTAGGGTTTGGGATTTAGGGTTTATTGTTAGGGTTTAGGGTTTAGGGTTTTGGGTTCAAGGATTAGGGTTTAGGTTTTTGGGCGTAGGGTTTAGGGTTTAGGGTTTAAGGTTCTCCGACTACGGTGGGGTCTAGGGTACGGCGAAAGTGCTGGACAAGAAAGCGCAACTGTATTCCGAGTGAGGGCAAGGCACCCAAGAAGCCTTACACCCCAAGGGTTTCGTTTCTATATCCTTGATTGCAGGCCCCGAAGCAAGCAACAACCAAATGAAGACACTCTGTGTCACTGGATTTCTCAACTAGCACTGAGGAATTTTGAGGCGATTTGTTTTGGGGAGTTTAGGCAGGTCTAGTACGGACTTAGGGTTTAGGGTTCAGGGTTCAGGGTTCAGGGTTCAGGGTTCAGGGTTCGGCTTTAAGGTTTAACTCTCCCCCAACCCTTCCAATTCAAGATAACCCCGCCCCTCAGCAAAGAAGGCCAATCCAACCTGCAGGCCGACAGGGAAATTAAGGAAACGAGCCCCTCTTTTTTTTTGTGGCTCAAGTTTGGGGAAAGCCAGGAAACGCGCCCTGACTTTCTTACTTTTTTGGAAACACGAGCACACGTTTTCTCACTTGTTTTTCTTTCGCTGAGACCCCTTAAGTTGGAGGCACATTGGGCTAAATTTAGCAGACCCCCGAAATCCTAAACCCTAAACCCTCAATCCTAAATCCCAAACCCTAAGCCGCAGACCCCTAAAATCAGGCAATTCGAGGGTGCCCTGGATTTGAGATTTGAGAACAGACAGCACGTTTTTTTTGGTTTGCGTGTCAACTCTCGGCCAAGCCCTTCGTTTTCTTAAACAAATGTTTTCGTATTCAGTCGCCGTAAACCTAAACCCTCAACCCTATACCCCAAACCCTAAACCCCAAGCCCCAAGCCCCAAGCCCCAAGCCCCAAACCCCAAACCCCAAACCCCAAACCCCAAACCCCAAACCCCAAACCCCAAACCCCAAACCCCAAACCCTAAACCCTAAACCCTAAACCCTAAACCCTAAACCCTAAACCAGAACCCTAAACCTTTTTGGGGGTTTGGGGGGTTTGGGGGGTTTAGGGCCGAGTCTTCTGTCAGGTCGCGGGGCCCTGCGTCCGAGAAGTGTGGGCGGAATACGGAAGCTTCCAGAGGTGCGGCCACTCTGCGTCTTCCTTAAAAAGATTCGGGTTTAGGGTTTGGGGTTTGGGGTTTAGAGTTTTGGGCCCGCGGCTTATCTACCATCCTTTTCTGAGGCCTAACTGTCACGTTGCATCCTCCAAACCCTCAAATAGAGGTGTCCACAGAAGGGTAGGGTAGGGTCTAAGCCTGCAGTTAACTAGTTACTACACCCCTGAACTCTGCACAAAAACGTTCAGAACCTTAAACCCTAAACCCTAAACCCTACGTCCGTCCCTCGACAGGTACTTCGAATTCGAAGAAAGAACTGGCCGCGAACCCTGCAATGCACAGATGAAGGGCAAGGGTGTCAAGAACTCGAGGAACATTTCTCTCCCAATGTTCAACTCCCCCCTTCCCTAGTATAAGAAACCCAAAAGCCCCACAGGGACTGTTTAGTAGTGGGGTGGGGATGGGGAAGGGTTCTTATCCCTTGTCCCGAACAAACAGCCCGTCCTTGTAGCTTGCTGCCTCGGACTCCTCCGCAAACCCTAAACCCTAGACCCTAAACCCTAAACCCTGATTCTGCAGAGAGTTTAACAGGGGCGACTGCCAGACCGGTCTTTGTGGGCCAGGGTGTTTTTGTTTAGGTATCAGGGGTGTGTTATTGCAACCAGTTTTGTTTTTGTGCCAGGGGTGTCTTATTGCTACGGGGAGGGAGTATTGGAACTTGCCAGGTAGCCAACCCTAAACCCTAAACCCTAAACCCTAAACCCTAAACCCTAAACCCTTAGGGTGGTGTAGCTCTACAGCTAAGCCACACCTTCCTTGTGTTGGGCGAGCTACCAGCCGCTTAATTAAGCCGAGGGTTGACGATTTCGATAACCCTAAACCCTAAACCCTAAACCCTAAACCCTAAACCCTAATTAAACCCTAAACCCCGATGAGAGAGACTCCTCAAGTCAGGTCTGCCTCCTGGAACGATTCGGATTCACACTTCGCCCACGATCTCCATGTCGCAGGCGCAGTGCTGATGCGTGGGTTTAGGGTTTAGGGTTTAGGGTTTAGGGTTTAAGGTTTCGGGTTTCGGGTTTAGTGCGTAGGGTTTAGGGTTTCGGGTTTAGTGTGTAGGGTTCAGGGTTTAGGGTTTTGGGTTTTGGGTTTAGGGTTCTGTTGGGCAGAAGCGCGAACCCTCTACCACTGGCAGCCACACATCCGACTCTCTGCAAGCGCATCCTGCAAACCAAAAACCCTGAGCCCTAAACTCGATCTGCAGCGCCTTTGCTCCCTAAACCCGAAACCCTAACCCCTAAACCCTAAGCCCTGAACCCTAAACCGTAAACCCTAAAGGCAGGTTTGCAGTTCTCGGTCCAGACCGAAACCCACGCATCACCCTGAAACCCTCCAGTGCTCAGTTCCCTGAGCACAGGCCCGCTACACCCTAAACCCTAAACCCTAAACCCTAAACCCGAAGGCCTGGTCCTGAACTCTAGACCCTCAACCCTGAACCCGAGAAGCCCGCGCCCAAAAGAAGTGCAAGGATCCTCACGAGCCACCCCTTGTTCGCGACAGGCCCTGACCGACACATCGTGCTGCGCTTGGCCTCCTGAAACTAAAGACCCGAAACCCTAAATCCTAAGCCCTAAACGCTAGGCCATAAGCTCTAAGGGTTTAGGGTTTATAGGATGCTAGTAAAAACTACTGGAGGTTTTGGTGTTAGCTCAATTCCTTACCGACTTGAAAGGGGCGCGTCTACCTGGTTTTCTAAGCCCCTGAAGCCCTAGCTTTTGCAATCTGAGGTCCTCACCTGCTCTTGGGCCCCTGACTACCCCCCCCCACCCCCCCGCTCCCCCCCCGCGCTCCCCTCTCTCCCCCCAAACAGGTTGCCCCCAAGGTTTCCTCCCCTTAGGCAAGGGGCCCTTAAGCACTTTATTTTAAAGTGTGAGAGCTTTACGGCTTCCAGTTTAGGGTTTCGGGTTTATAGAGTTTAGGGTTTAGGCTTCTTTTCGAAACCCAGAAGCCAGGGAAAATAGTAACCAAGCAGACAGCCAGGGCCTCGCCCCAAGGCTCGCAGAACTCTCAATTTCAGGTTGTCGGGCCTAAAAGACCACGTTATACAATATTTCGGGTTTAGGGTTTAGGGTTTAGGGTGTCAAAGGGCACTTGTGATCTGGCGAAACTGGGATTGGGTGTACACAGGGCCCCTCGTGTGTTTCGGATGCCTAGGGCTCCAGATTGGGTTCTCGTGTGTTTCGGATGTGCAGGGCTCCAGATTGGGTTCTGATGTGCTTGGGTTGAGTTGAGGATTGATAGTTGAGGGCTTAGGGCCTAGGGTTTAGGGTTGAGTGTTGAGTGTTGAGTGTTGAGGGATTAGGGTTTAGGGCCGTTTAGGGTTTAGGGTTTAGGGTTTAGGGTTTAGGGTTTAGTGTTTAGTGTTTAGGGTTTAGCGTTTAGCTTTGCCACTCCAAGGTCCACGCGGCGGAACATCACCACGCCCTCCCTGGTCGTGAGGGAAGCCAGGGGCGTTGGGGAGCCGATCCCCAAAGTGGGAAAGGCCTAGGGCTGTTAGGGTTTAGGGTGTAGGGTTAGGGGTTAGGGGTTAGGGGTTAGGGTTTAGGGTTTGGAACAACCTGATGACCCTTAAGCACCCTAAGCACGGTAAGCCCATACCTAGCCTCAAAACCCAATAAGCCCATCATAGCCCATCAACCCCAGGAAAGCCCTGTGAAAAAGTGTGTGTACAAAGCGCTCCGCGTTGTAGGGCTTCCTCCGCGGTCCATGCTGACACCAAGCATCAGCAGGCCGGCTTGGAGTTTGGGGGTTCAGGGCCTGCCTGGGGCCTGGAGGGGGTTTAGCTTTTTTGGGGTTCAGGATTCAGGGGAAGAAAAAGGTATACAGAAGGGATAGGGTTGGAATTTTGTGGAGTTTAGGGTTCAGGGTTGAAATAAGTTACTACGGTTGAGATTGATAGATGTTGAAAAGGGTCTCTGTTGCAGGGCCTAAGAGTTCGGGGTCTTGGGGTTCAGGGTACCAAGAAGGCTCCATGACTCATGGACCCTGAAAAGACTGAGGTCTACAGAGATGTTTGTATGGGGTTCAAGGGCCAACTCAGCCAGAAGTTGAAGACTCGGGATGTTAGTTGACCGCTTTAGGGTTTAGGGTGTTCTCATGTCCCCTGCAGATGTCTACCGGGCGCACACGCCAAAACACGTTCTTATCGCAACGCAACAAAGCAAGCCATCAACCCTTGCAACCCTAAACCCTAAACCCTAAACCCTAAACCCTAAAGAAACGTGGGTAGGGTTTGGGGTATTGGGGCTCAGGGTTCAAGAGGGCCCCCCCTGCCCCCACGCACACCGAGGTTCAGGATTTCGGATTTAGGATTTGGGGTGTAGTGCTTAATTAGGGGTGAAGATTGAGGGGAGGAAGCCAGGGACTTCTGATGTTGAGTTTGGGCCTAGAGCAAGTCTCAGCCCTAAACCTTAAACCCTAAACCCCTAAACCCTAAACCTTAAACCCTAAACCCCTAAACCCTAAACCCTAAACCCTAAACCCTAAACCCCGAAACCTAAACCCTGAACCCTGAACCCTAAACCCTCAACCCCCAAACCCCTAAAACCCTTTCGTCCAGGCCTTTGCTGGAATCGAATTGGCACCTGGCCGCCTCCGCCGGGGCAGAGCTGGCTGGGAGTTACCCTTTGTTGCGGTTTAGGGTTTAGGGTTTGGGTTTAGGGTCTAGGGTCTAGGGTTTAGGGTTTAGGGTTTAGGGTTTAGGGTTTAGGGTTTAATTAGGGGTTTAGGCGGTTTAGGCGGTTTAGGGGTTGGGTTTAGGGGTTTAGGGGTTTAGGGGTTTAGGGGTTTAGGGGTTTAGGGGTGTAGGGGTGTAGGGGTGTAGGGGTTTAGGGGTTTAGGGGTTTCGGGGTTTAGGGGTTTTGGGGGTTGGGGGTTTGGGGGTTTGGGGGTTTTGGGGTTTTGGGGTTTTGGGGTTTAGGGTTTAGGGTTTAGGGTTTAGGCAGGTCACCACATTATACTTAAGTTGATGAGCTTCCTTCCGGCTAGTCCTAAACCTTAAACCCTAAACCCTAAGGCCTAGGGCCCCAAAACTTCCATCTCTCACCCGGGCGAATACAAGAGAACAAAGCTTCCAGAATCGCTACAGATCAAGAACCCTATACATGCATGTAGACCCCGTTAAAACCCAGAGCCCGCCCTAAGCTAAACCCCACAATGCGCGTCCGCCGCCAGCCCTGCTCAAGCCGTTGATAGGAGCTTGCCAAACGCAGGCTGTTTTGTAAACCTAAACCCTAAAACCTAAACCCTAAACCCTAAACCCTAAACCCTAAACCCTAAACCCTAAACCCTAAACCCTAAACCCTAAACCCTAAACCCTAAACCCTAAACCCTAAACCCTAAACCCTAAACCCTGAACCCTGTCATGGGGCTCTGGGCCATAGCGTGCTCACTGTTGGTGGCTTCTGCCGCTGCCATCGAGGACGAGACGTGCAACGCAGCGCCTACAGGGGATGCGTTCGCTGTCCCAGACAGCTCCGGAGCCCCATGGTCCTTCTACAAATACTCGGAGGTCACCGCCAGACTTTTCCACCACATTGCGACGGGCCCCTTTGAACTTAAGAGGAGGACCGACTCACCCTTTGCCCTCGAGGTTGTTCCCCTTGGGCTGCGGGGAGTTCAAACCGACACCCCGGAAATCACGTCGGTGGAATGCGCGGCTGCCGAGTTCACGTGTAGCAAGGCCGTGGACGCATACCCAAATGCTTGCAGCGGCGAACTCAAGCTGGTAGAGTTCATAAATACTGTCGCGCGGTCACGCGCGCCTGGAGTGGCCTATGGCCTTCTACTTCTTCCGCCGCGCTGTGGGCGGAGGCAAGGTCGTGGCCGTGGTCGAGGCAAGGTCCCTGCTGCCCGTCAGTCTGTCCGACCACCTTGTATTCTCAACTTCCTGCAAGATTCCTCCCACATGCAGGACCAGGGAGCACGCTGGCCCTAAACTCTAAGCCTCTTAAAACCCATATGAGACCTCCGCAAGCCCGAAGAGCCCTGGAAGCCCTAGAACCCCTAGAAGCCCTAGAAATCCTATCAGCCGTTTGAGGCCTATACGCCCCATATGGGCGTTTACGAACATAGCGGACCCCAATATAGATCCCCAAATAGTAGGACCCCTTATAATAAAAAGGGTCCCAACAAGGTGCCCCAAATTTCGAAAGTCCCCCGTTCGGCCCCCAACCTCGAGGACCATGAAGCCCTCGGGGGCTGTGCTGGACCCTCCCTTGCCACCGGAGATCCCTGGCATGGAGGACTTCAATATGGGGGGGGTGTGACGAAAATAAGCGGGACCAAATGGACCCCCAAATAGGAGGAATCCCTTGTAGTAAGGTTCCTCTAACTTCGGAAACCCCATCTGAATCCCCAAGTGCAAAACTGATGTCATCAGCCCCTATACGGCCCATGTAAACCTCATTAAACCCTTATGGAGGCTTAATGTGCTCCTATACAAGCCCTGATTAGCCCTTCACGAACCCTTACCAGCCCCTGCTAACTCTTACCGTGATTCCGAAACACCTCGCCCTAGACGTCGAGTCTTTCTTCAGCCATTCAAGCCCCCCCTAAGCACCTAGAAGCTCAAAGCCCCTCAGCCGCACTAAAGTTATGACACGGGTAGGGACCTCACCCCAAGGGTCCATGTACCTTATGATTAAATACGTGGGCCCTACAGTCCCCATATAGGAAGTACGTTAAAGCGAAAGTATTCCCTATTTACGCACATGGACCCTTCGGGTAGTAGCCCTAAACCCGAAACCCGAAACCCTAGACCCTAGACCCTAGACCCTAAACCCTAAACCCTAAACCCTAAACCCTAAACCTATGACTCCTTGTCATGTTTGCTTTGGACATCAACTTTAAAAAATGGCTCAGTGTCAGGGTTTTCCAGAAGGAGTTTAGACATTAGATGCTGCTGAATTCTCAGGTATAGGGTCGAGGGTTTAGGCTTCCGGGGGGTTAGGGTTTAGGTTTTAGGGTTTAGGGTTTAGGGTCGCGGGTCTAGGGTTTAGGGTTTAGGGGTCAGGGTTTGGGGTTTAGGGTTTAGGGATCCGAGTTTTGGGAGGTTCGTGCTTCGGCATGGACCGGAGCCGGCAACACCCCAGTGGAGGACTTGAACCTGTCGTTCCCCAAGCTCTCTGCCGGCGGGGCCGCGCATCCCGGAAATCGCAAGGCAGGAATAGGGTTTAGGGTTTAGGGTTTAGGGTTTAGGGTTTAGGGTTTAGGGTTTAGGGTTTAGGGTTTAGGGTTTAGGGTTTAGGGTTTAGGGTTTAGGGTTTAGGGAGGAAGAAACAGGAGCTGTAGAGGTTTCAGGCTTAGGGTTTCTAGGGTTCAACGGCTGTGCGGCGCCCATAAGGGTTTCACGGGCGTATGTGGCTTAGGGCGGATATGGGGTGTCAGGGTTCTGGGGTCCAAGGGGTTGTTTAGGGTTTCAGGTTTTTTCCCAAATTTAGGAGGGGGATCCGACCCTGAACAAGGGCCGGAATGGACGTGATCTGCTTGAAACGGCCGGCAGCGCTGGGGCGGCAGCGATGGCCCTGGCGTTGCTGGGCATCTGCTGCCTCCGCCGGGCGAGGAAGATTCGGGAGGCTGAGGCTGGCGAGCTTCGGAATGCCGCGTAAAAACTGCAGTTGTGCAGGGGCTGGTTCTTAGTAGGGAATGAGGGAATGAGGTACCCTATGTAAGCCCATATATATAGAGGGCTCCAATTCCCTCATTCCCTACTAAGAACCAGGGGGGTTGCAGGGGCTTTTGGGTTTAGGGCTCAAAATTTCAGGGTGTTCGCTCCATCTCGAGCCTTGCAGCCCCGACATCGGTGCCTGCAAGATTCCAAACAATTGACCCACGGTTTAGGGTTTAGGGTTTAGAGTTTAGGGTTTAGGGTTCAGGGTTTAGTGTTTAGGGTTTAGGGTTTAGGGTTTATAGGGTTTAGGGTTTACGGTTTAGGGTTTAGGGTTTAGGGTAGAGGGGACGTCAAGGGGCTGAAAAGCCTAAGCTTCAAACCCCCAAGATCTTAAAGGCTGAGGCCACAGACCCCAAACACCTCATGAATCTTATAGCTTCAGGGACTGTTGCGCTCTTCGGGATTTTCGGGGATTTTAGGGATTTGGGGTGGCTTGAGAAGTTCTCAAAATTTTCCTTAAGACCTACAAAAGCCTGAAACTGAAAACTGTCACGGCCAGGTGTTGAGAGCTCGCGCAAAGCCACGCCTGTGGCGTTGGGGTTTAGGGTTTAGGGTTTAGGGTTTAAGGTTCAGGGTTTAGGGTTTAAAGGCTGCTAAGGGGTTGAGGGCTTTGGGTTTCAGAAGGCTTCAGAGTTTTTGGGGGTTGTGAAGACAAGGTCTGAAGTGTGGGCCTTCTGAAGTCTCTAACGAGATCCGAACCTCAAAGTAGGTTTGCTGCCGCCGAATCCAGGCGGAGGGCTCAAAAAGAGCCAAGGTGCGGCCATCACGGTGAACAAAGGCGTCTTCGAAGTCACAAGTACCCCGGACCCCTTCACCCTAAACCCTAAGCCGTAACCCTAAACCCTAAACCCTAAACGCTAAACCCCAGAGACCCTAAACCCTAAACCCTAAACCCTAACCCTCAGCCGTAACCCAAAACCGCTGGAACACAGAAGGTCAACCTCAGGAGGCCTTTCATAGGGGGGGGGGGGGGGGGGGTTCGCAAATCTGTTCCATCGGCATCTCCCGCATGCCTGGCTCCAGGTGTGACGCACTTCTTTGTAGCAAGGGCCCGCAAGTGCGCTGTTTGCAACGTAGCGAGTCCAGAGAGGGGGGGGTCGGTAAAGGGCTCCGAACTGTGGAAGCTAGAAGATGAGTACATACCCTTGCACCGATCATCTATCTCAGGTTGAGACTCAAAAAAAGAGGTCCTCAGGGAGCCGAACCGCCAACATTTAGGGTTTAGGGCCAGTTTAGGGTTTAGGGTTTAGGGCTTGGCCCACATTCTTTGAGGTGTACAGCATGATTCAATGCACTCACCCGGCAAGTTTTTTCGGCCCGAATGTTCAGGGACCTTCTAGTAAGCTCTTTGCCCTTGATAAACAACTGGTGGTGCACGTCCTCGCCCCGGACAGCTGAGCTCATCCTCTTGGTCTTAGTGGTTTTCTGGATTGGATTTGTGTGCGGAGGTCTGACTGCAGGCCTGATCTTTTCAGTGAGGTGTCGAGTCTGGACTACCAGGCTACTCCTGTCTGTTCTTGAAGGCCAGCCTGGTCTGGAACAGAGGCCTCTTCCCGTCATCCGAGGCGGGCGCAATCGTCTACAGGCCTACCGTGCATGAGTCAATCCTTCCCCCCTCCACTGTCCGTGTGAGAGTTGAGGCGGAAGGCTTGAATTTCGAGTCAAGACTGTCCAGGGCAACAAGTGATCAACACGACGGCGACCATTAGCAAGTGGGTGAGTCCCCGGCGGAGGAGCCGGACAGAGAGGTCCATCGTGAACTGGAACCCTCTCGCAATCTTCCTCTTCTTCATCTTCTTCGCCGGCGCCGCTTGTTTTCAGCAGGAAAGTGGACTGTGGAAGTTCAGCTCACCCGAGCGTTCAGTGCCTACCTGTCCCAGAAGGACACCTGGCCCTCTTCGGTCTACGTCATCTACTCCGATCCGTCCGGCAACTGGACCAGATTCGCCAGGTCCCAGACCCGATCCTACGCAGCAGTCACGGTTGTGGCCTATCTGCTGGGAGGACCATGCCACTTGCCCCGCGAGGAGTTCAAAGCTTGCGGTGCGTGAACGTCGCGAACGACGACCAGGTGGACTTGGTGTTGCTTCGATGGCATGGCGCTGGGAGCCCGAGTTGCCTGGCCATACCCTTGCGCACCAGTGCCAGTGGAGTCATCCTGTGTGTCCCCAACGGCTTCATCCCCCAGGAGGAGCTGGACGAAGCGGCCGACGGACCTTGCGATGGGGTGGTCGGACCTCACATGGTGGCTTCAGTGGCTGTGCAAGGCTCCGGAAGCGAAGCCGAGATGATGGAGGTGATATTGGTCGAGATGTCCATGGCCATTGCAGGGCAGCTGGACAAAAAGACCCAGAGGTCACGGAAAACCTTCCAGGGATTTGCTGCAGATCGCAGCGTGCTTCCCAGCTTCTCAGAGCTCAACGACTTGGTTGCAAGCTGGACGGAAGGCGGGGAAGCTCGCCTGGAGGAATACTACACTGCCCCGGAAGAGATGCTCGAGGAGGAACCCCAAGAACTGGTGCCTCCCGAGATGCACAGCGACCAGAACGCTGCCATTCTCGCCCAGCTGGTGGAAATTCAGACTGCCGTGGAAAGCCGCTTTCAGGCTCTGGAAAGCAAGGTGCACGGACTTCAAGCCCCGGCTGCCAAGACTCGGGCTGCGCTTCCAGGGCCTTCGCGGCCCGCCGCAGGCGCAGGGCGAGGAGGACTGCAGGACCAGATGGAGAACCTGCTAGGACATGTACGAGACCAAGTGCGTCGTCCCCCTCCACGCCTGCCCGACGAACCCGGCAGACTGGGAGAGACTGCCGTGGAAGCCCGAGCTCAGAAGCCTTTGGATGCAGAGAACGCTTCAACCGACGAATTGCTCAAGTTGGCCCTGGTCAAGCTGATGCATGGCTCCAAGGCCAAGAAGTCGCGCCGCCTCCCGGGCTTGCCTTCGTGGGAGAGTGGAGACTCGAGCGCCGAGGAGCAAGACCCAGGTTGGAGTTCCACGAGCCGAGGCGGAAGAGGAATCGAGGCAGTAGAAAGGCTGAACGTGGCCATGAAGAACCACCCCGAGGCCTACCAGGAGCGCATGGAGAGCCGGATGTGCAAGGCCGTCGACACCACAGAGCTCTTGCCGACGGTCCCGCTCCAGTTTGCGCGGTCTTGTCCTGTGGGGAAGTCCAGGACAGCTGGTTACTGCCTCCAGGGCTTCGCCAACGTTCACCGCCTGCTCTTGGAGAACAAGCCGCGCCAGGCTCGCTTGCAGGTGCTTCGCATGATGGCGGCTTTGGAGCAGTTTCTGATCGACGAGAACTGGCAGGTGGCAAGCCGTGTGACCGGCATGGAAGAACCTCCTTGGGGCTTTTGGGCCACCCAGGATTTGGGGGCTCTGAGACGCCAGTACGTCTACACACGATTGGCAGAGTCGACCTGGATCGGGGCCCTCATCAACGAGCTCAAGGAGGAGGAATGGCTCACAAAGAAGAAGACGCATCCGCCGCCAAAGGGCCAGACAATGAAGGGAGCTGGACGAGGCGCAACAGAAGAAGCCGGATGAATGGCCGGCCCTTTAGGTTTCTGAACTACGTGGCCCCGAAGGCGAATTCGGAGCGGGCCCTGATGGCTGGAACTTCGCCTCTGGCATGGCTGGAGACTTGGTGTGGCTACCTGGAGGGTTCGGATTTGCCGCTTGCTCAATACTTTAGGAGCACTTTTTGTACCCCTGAAGCCTCCTCAAAACCTGTAAAGGGATCAAACGAGATCTTTCCTTGTCCTCCTCCTTTCCCCTGGGTTGTGCCTAAACCGGCCGGCTTAGGGAAGTCCCGTAGAAGGCGTGACCGTTGGTGTAAGCGTAGGGCTTGTGAACTCTGGGTCAACCTCATGGTTTGTGCTTTGAGTCATGAAGCCTTGGGAGTCAATGTTGCGCCTGAGCGAGGGAGGAGAGGGGTTGCGTTGTCATCGACACAAAGTCAGATGGCGGCTCGGTTGCAATCCTTTGCCTGTTCTGTTGTCCGCCTGGGGCATAGTGCCACTGGATGCGGACTCCGTCTGCCAGCGACCGCTGATAGACTCAGCCGTCTGCGTGAGCAATTGAACCAATTCGATGCTTTGCCATACTCGTGCAGCCATAGGCATTTTCAAACGAGGGACGGCAGCTTCACTGCTACCCAGGCCCTGCCCGTAGTGGCAGAACGCTTGAGCCTCCCGGATCGGGTTCAGGACTTTGATCCTAGGCCTTACTTGAGTCCTACCTTCCGTCATATTTACGAGGACCCCGATGCGTTTTTAAAACCCGAAGCGGAGCGCCCTGAACCCATTAAGATCCGAGGCACTGCATCCCGTAGGGAACTTCTCAAGGTTCTTGAACGATGGGACCATCTCGGTCGTCTTTTCGTATGTGACAGTTCTGAGGTTAGATCTGAGGATAGGTGTGAGTTGTTCGCTGTGGCGAAGGATGCTGATAAGGATCGGCAAATCCTGCATCGGAAAAGACGTAACCTTCAGGAACGTCACATTCAAGGCGCGTCTCGAGATCTGCCACATGGAGTACTCTTATGCCAGCTTCCCTTGGAAGGGCGCTATGTGTGTGCGTGCTCGGTCGATGATGTAAAGGACTTTTACCATGCTTATCCTGCCTCGGAAGCCCGAGCTAGGAGTTCGCCGGTGGGTCCTGTTTTCCGTCCCGGGGAAGTGAGTCATTTGAAAGCATTCCAGGAAGCCCTTGCAGCAGGTCGAGTCACCCAAGGTGGCCGTGTGGCGTGCTGCTTTAAAGGGCTGGGGATGGGAGACCATGCAGCCGTGGATATAGCTCAGGAAAGTCATGTGAACTTACTTAGGTCTTTTGGAGCTATGAAAGAGGGCGAAACTTTGAGGTATAGAGACCCGGTGCCGCACCCCCCTAGTGGTTTCGTGGAAGGTATCATGATTGACGACCACTTAGGTCTTCAGCTCTTGCCGAGACTTCAGAGCCTGAAGGAAACCTTGGCTCAACCGGCGAGGGATCAGGAGGTCTTCGCGGCTTCGGGCAAAGCTTATTCTCACGCTGGGCTGCAGGCGCATCCGAAGAAGGCCGTTCGACGTGGGGTTTGCGCCAAAGTCTGGGGAGCCGAGATTGAAGGAGAGAAAGGGCTTGTAGGTCCAGTTCGTAGTCGTTTGATGGCCTTGGGAAGGCTGTCTAGTGAGGTCGCCCGCCCGGGTGCGATTGACCAGCAGACCTTGGATGGAGTCTTGGGTTTGTGGGGCTTTTGCGCCCAATTCCGACGGCCCATTTTCAGTTTCTTGTATGAAGCGTACAGACAACAGGGTCCCGGGACTGCCGAAGAGCCGTTCCGCCTTTCCACAGGGGCCCGCAACGAATTTGCTGTGCTTGCTTGCTTAGCACCTCTGTGTCTAACTGATCTCCATGTTTTGCCTGATAAGTATCTGTATTGTGTGGATGCTTCTCCTTCGGGGGCTGGGGTGTGTAGGTCTGAAGTGGGGGTTTCTGTTGTTAGGGAGATTTGGCGTAGAGGTGACAAGCAGGGGTATAGGATGCCGCTTTTGAGTCGGCTTTCCGCCGCCCTGAAAGAGAGCGGCTTGGATGAGGACGATGTTCTAGATGAACAGGATTCGCAATCGGAGATTTCGGATTCGCCTTTGAGGAGTGAGTTTGAGCAGGGTCCAGTAGAGGCTCTGTCTTTTGCACGCGGCTATTTGGAACGAGTTTCCCAGGACGACTGGAGGTTGTCCATACCTCCTGCGCTAAAGGAGGGGCCGTGGGACTTCTTAGAACTTTACTCTGGTTGCGGCCAGATGAGTGCTTCCTGGGCCAAACAAGGGTTCAGTGTGTTGCCTCCGGTTGAGCTTAAGCGAGGTTGGGATATGACTAGTCAGGACTTGTTCTGGGGGCTTTTGGGGCTTCTCAGGTGTGGTAAAGTCAAGTTTCTTTGGTGGGCGCCGCCTTGCACCACGTTTTCGAGTGTTCGACATCCTAAGCTAAGGAACTTGAGTCAACCGTGGGGATTTGATATACTTGACTTTGATTGTGTTTTAGGGAACCTTCATGCGGTTCAGTCCATGCTCTTGGCGTTGGTTCAACTTGATGTGGGACATGCTTTCGGGGGGGAACAACCTGCGTTTGGATCCATGCGAGCCTTGAGACCCTGGGAGCTGTTGAAGGCCCGTGGGGCGTTTGAGGTCCTCTTCGACTGGTGTAGATATGCGCGACTGTATACTAAGACCACCCGTGTTATCACGAACTTTAGAGCCCTCCAAGGCTTGCAGAAGAGGTGTCATCACACACGTCATCACCCCCCCCTTAAAGGTCACAAGACCACTTTGGCAGGGGCTTACAGTCGGGCCTTTTGTGAGAGGGTTGCTTCGTTCTGTGCTTCGGTGTGGGATGACTTTGAGGGTCAAGTTTCGGGGGATGTTGAGGCTCGAAAGTTTGGGGAGGACATGTCAGGGCTACAGAGTCACAGTAAGGCTGAGCCTTGGGGTGCACATCGTGAACACCCTCAACGTTATCCCCCAACTCGTGTCCTGCACCCTCAACAGGATCCCGAAAAGGCCTCGAGATTGAAAAGAAGTCGTAGAAAAAGAAGCTCTGCGCTCTGGGCAGTGCAGCTTTCAGAAGGGTTGACGTGGAAGACCTGTATGCAATATAAGTTCACCCAACATGCTCACATCAACATTCAAGAGGCTAAGGCGCGAAGGTCGTTGTTCAAACGTCTGCCTTGCAACAAGCGAGTGGTTGTTTGTCAGGATAGTCGTGTGAACTTGGGAGCTCTGGGTAAAGGCCGTAGTCCAGCGGCTGCTCTGAATAGAGTCATGAGATCCGAGGCTCCCTTGATCTTGGGGAAGAACTTGTATGTTTCAGGGTTGCACCTGCCCACTTGGTCCATTCGCGCGGACTCGCCGAGCCGTTGTTTGCCCGTAAGCCCTCCTCGAATTGCTTTACCGCCATGGTTTTGGCAGCTTAGAGCTGGTCTTCGCTCAGGTGCAGCTTCTTTGGATGCCTTGCAGGGTTTGCCCCGGGCATACAACAGGTGGATGGTTTTTGTGGGGGCTCTTTTGCTTCAGTGCTCTGGAAGTCCAGGCGCCGCGACCGCCTTCAGAAGGCGTCAGGACCCGGGAGCACTTGCTGAGAGGCCGAGTCACCGAGAAGACGCACCAGATCCGGACGAGTTTGATTGCCAGCCTGGAGGAGTGGCTCTTGCCTCAGCTACCTGGGATGACGTTGGAGACCTTGGCTCGAGGGCACTCAGACGTTTTGTCCGATTGGCTCGAAGAATATATGGTTGCTATGTTTCTACAACGCCGCAGCCGTCGAGCTGCAGCCGAGACCTTAAATGCCCTGGCCCAACGGTTTGGATGGCTGAGATCCTCGCTTGCCGCGCCGTGGAATCTGGTGAAAACCTGGGAGCAGTTAGAACCAGTACAACATCACCCGCCGGTACCCAAGGCGGTGAACGATGCACTTGTCGTTACTGCTCTGCTCTGGCGGTGGCCGCGGATGGCGGCTTTGCTGGTGCTTGGCTTTTTTGGATTGCTGAGGCCCTCCGAGCTTATTGGACTACGTCGGCAAGATCTGGCATTGCCAGGCGACCACTTCGAAGAAGACGTGCTGTACATCCGCGTGCCTCATCCCAAAACCAGATTTCGGGCTGCAACCTCCCAACATGTTCGAGTCGAGTTTCCGGGTGTGGCCACGTGGATCACCTTGGTGGTAGGGACGACCCCGATGTGGAGGCGGATTTGGAATGGCTCTTGGGCCTCGTTTAAGCTGAGGTTTGGAGCACTCCAAACTGAGGTTTTGGGCGCTGTCACTTTCCTGCCGTCCTCGCTACGTCCCGGAGGCGCTACTTTTCTTTTCAGATACTGGGATGAGGACCTGACGCGCTTACAATGGCGCGGTCGTTGGAAGTCATTCCGTATGCTGGAAACATATGTCCAGGAATTGGGCGCGACCGAGGTCCTGGTTCGTTTTTCCCCTGGGGTTCGGTGCCGGGTTGGGTCTTTGGGGGGTTGTTTCATGAATATCCTGGCTGCATGTCGTGATGCTGCGGGGCGCGTCGAAGCGCGCTTGTAGTCCCGCCCGCCCGCCCGTGTGGGTCAGGTTGGGAGAGCTGTGTGTTTGAAGACTTTGCCACTTGCCGCAAACGAGCGGCCTGTGGCAGCAGCGGCTGAAAGCCGCCCTCTCTTTCCGTGAGTCGTGAGGAGTGAGCAAGCGAGCGTGCAAACAAGTCGGAGACTCTGTGAGTGCATGTTGCTCTGAGGGCTTGAGAGCAGAAGCATCGGAGCACCCTCCAAGAATGGCCCACATTCTTTGAGGTGTACAGCATGATTCAATGCACTCACCCGGCAAGTTTTTTCGGCCACCACCGCCCCGCCACCACGAGCTGTGTGTTTGAAGACTTTGCCGTGAGGAGTGAGCAAGCGAGCGTGCAAACAAGTCGGAGACTCTGTGAGTGCATGTTGCTCTGAGGGCTTGAGAGCAGAAGCATCGGAGCACCCTCCAAGAATATATAGGGTTTAGGGTTTAGGGTTTAGGGTTAGGGTTTAGGGTTTAGGGTCAAAGTCTTTCCAAGCACAAGTTCGTACAGCACCGATTCGTTTCACCGGCTGCTGACGCACAACGTCCTCACCCGACTGCAAGGAGCCTCTTCATGCCAGAAGGCAGGGCGAAGGAGGGCTGGCTTAGGGGTTTAGGGTTTAGGGTTAGGTTTATGGGGTTTAGGTTTCAGAGCGGGGGTGAGGGGGGGAGGCGATTGTTGCAGTGCTCGTCTACGAAGCAATGTCACATAAAGCCTCAATAGGGCTTAGAATAACAACCAAGGATGCCTACCATATCCTGCCACTGCGTTTAAACCCCAACCTACATCCCGGCAGCCTAGAAAGGCACCCCATTGGTCCCTCAGCCCTACACCCTGAACCCTAAACCCTAAGCCCCGAACAGGGTGGAAAGTTCCCTACACCCTGCACCTTGAAACCGCACCCCCTGATAAAAGGGACGTGGTCGGATGGACCATAAGACTTCCTTACTACAAATGAGCATGGTAGGTTCGGGCCTTCTTGCGTTTAGGGGGTTTGGGGTTGTAGGGTTTGGGGTTGTGGGGATTTAGGAGTTGAGGACTCTATCGGGGTTTTGTTTAGGGGTTTGGGAGTTGAGGGGTTTGTGGGGGTTCGGGTTTAGTGGTCCCTCAATATGGTCCCTTACCTCCTTTAAAGCGGGCCCCTTGGGTTTATAGGGTATATAAGGTGCATATAAGGGGTCCCCTAATGTGGGCCCCATGAGACTGGTTCAGGGGTTTAGGCGTCTAGGTGATTATCCCTAAACCCTAAACCCTAAACCCTAAACCCCAAACCCTAAACCCTAAACCCTAAACCCTAAACCCTAAACCCTAAACCCTAAACCCTAAACCCCAAACCCTAAACCCTAAACCCTAAACCCTAAACCCTAAACCCTAAACCCCAAACCCCAAACCCCAAACCCTAAACCCTTTCCGAGGCCTCCCTGGGGGCCATGGCGATGCGGCCGCGCTTCGACAACCGGCAGGCCTGGGGTGGAAAGGTTTAGGGTTTAGGGTTTAGGGTTTAGGGTTTAGGGTTTAGGGCTTAGAGTTTAGGGTTTAGAGTTTAGGGTTTAGGGTCTATAGGGTTTAGGGTCTACAGGGTTTAGGGTCTACAGGGTTTAGGGATTTTGGGTTTGGGGTTTTGGGGTTTTAAGGTTTGGAGGCGTGGGGTTCAAGGCGCACATTGGCTCCTTGTTTTGAGCTGTCGTATGGGGGCTTTCCAATTCTGTTGTTTTAGGGTTCAGGGTTAAAGGTTTAGGGATTTAGGGTTTTGGGATTTAGGGTTCAGGGGTTTTGTGGTTTAGGGATC